TCCGCTTCCCGGTCTGTGACGGGCCCTGCCGCTGTCTCTGCAGAGGTGTGAGCTCCAACAGCACAGCACAGCCCCACCGCCCCTCCCTGCCGCTACCGCCTGCCTCCCAGGAGCCGGGGTGGCAGAGACCTCAGCCCAAGCCGTGTCAGGGAGCAGCCTCTCCTGGCCCCCAAACACCCCACCAGGCAGGGCACACCCTGCATGGTGCGGGGCCGCTATCAGCCTGTCCCCAGTAAGTTTTTTTTAAATTAAGATGCACAATCATCCCACAGCCAGCTTCCCCCTCCAGCAATCGGTTAAAATGAACTCCAGACGACTGGATTAGACTTTAAACGCGGTCTGATCTAGATCACGAACACGGAGGATGCAGTGTTGACACGGGCCCCGGCGAGCGACATTATTATTTAACAGGCCTCACTCCCGCCTCCGCTGGGATCAAGGAGCTGAACAAGCAGTTGGTGGGCAAGCGTACAACGCAGAGACAGACCGCGGGCGCAGGCTCCGCAGGGGACGACGAGAGGAACAAGGTCAGGGCGGCCGAGTAGGGACCAGCTGGGCAAGGGGCAGAGTCCCAGCTGAGTGGGCCTCAGAGAGAGTGACAGTCCCCCAGCTCAGAGCTCCCCAGCCCCAGAGACCATGTGGCCACTCGGCGCCCAGACACGGTGGCACACAGCACTCCCCTCCCCCGGACCACCGCTTCCCGTCGTCCCACGGTCACACGGCAGCTCACTCGCCCGGCCTCGCCCAGGGATCCTGACCTCCACACACCTCGCCCCTGCTCCTATCCGGTCTCCAGCCGGGTCTGGCACCCCCCTGCCTCCCCTGGGTTCCCACCGGGCCTGGACTCACCGCCCCCCCCAGGCCTCATCACACCAGGCAGAAGTTGACAGTCCCGGCTGTCTCTCCACAGAGGACCGTGAGCTCCCGAAGAGCTGAGACCAAGTCTCACTCATCTGCGCCCCTCTAGCACGCTTCATAGAGGCCTGGGAACGGGGGCACCTGCATGTGCCGACGACGAGCTAGACGCTGGGGAAACAAAGACCAGCAAGGTGCGATCCTCAGCCTGGACGTGTTGTGGACAAAGCAGGCTGTGAACACATGGAAGTTCTCTGGAGTTACATCTGATGGGGACAGGAAACCATGGGGCCAAGACAGCCTAGAAGAGACGGAGACTTCTGCCTCCTGCGGCAGCCAGCAGGAGGATTAACACTCAGGATACCTGTGCTCAAATCCTAACTGCCTCTTCTAGCTGTGTGACCTTGGGCAAGTTACTTAACCTCTCTGTGCCCATTTCCTCATCTGTAAAGTGGAAATAATAGCAGTACTCATCTCATAGCATAGTTCGAGGACTAAGTTCACACATCTAAACTGTAAAACCCAGGCCTGGTCCAAAGGAGTCTGAAATGCTCAACAGATATTGGTCCTTGTTGCTTCCTGGGGATGGCAGGAATCCGGAAGAACTCAGAGTTAACGCAATCCCCAGATTAATTCCCAAGTGTTCACATTTGAGCCTGGGCCACTCTGGCCACACCCTCAGCCAACAACACCCTCCTGGACCTCCTGGCTTGGGCGCTGAACAGCCCTAAGCACCTCAAATCCCCAAGGGGGTTTTCTCAAGCCTGGGGGGGATTCTGCAACACGGCTGCTCATAGGGAACGCCCTTCCTCTGGACTGAGGCTTCCTGCGGCAGATAGTGCACCCAGGCACGGCCCTGCGGTGCTGAGCCCTCGGCACACGTGGGGACCACAGCCAGCGAGCGAGCCACCGCAGCCAGGCCCCAGCCGCTCCTCCCAGCCTGGCTGGCCATGCAGGGGGCACCAAGGCGAGCGTGGAGCCCGCCAGCCCAGGAGCAGGCGGGGCGGCTGTTCGGAGCGGCCAGAGAGCCATTTCCAGAGCCCCAGCACTAAGGCAGAGCGGCCCCCCTCGCTCTGAGCAGCGGGAGCGCAGCCGTGTTAAGTATGCACGGCGATCACCTGTGACCGTGCCGAATGCCTGTGTGCACCGAAGGCGGGTGGCCGCCCCGCGCTGCACAGAAACTTTTCAATTTCCAGGCCGCAGACGGGGGCTCGTGCTCCCTTTGGCCCTGCCGCAGAGGCTCCCCGAACACCCCTTCTCCATCCTGCCTCCCCCAGCCAGCGGCCCTCCTGAGGCCCTCCCAGGTGCGCCAGGCAGGTGAAAGGCCATACTGATCCCCTTCTTAAGAGCAGCCGGTCCAGAGCTAACCTTAAATCATCGCAGCCGCATGCTGGAGCCTGGTGCTGCTGGGGCCCCAGGGACGGTTGCATGCGCTGCAGCTGGCAAGGGGCAAAAACGGGTGAGGGTGGGTCAGGGCCCAACCCAGGCCCAGTCCTTCCTGTCGTCCATCTCCTGGGGCTGGCATCAGCAGGACGAAAGCTTTCTTCCAGCGAAGCGAGAGGTGGCAGCCTGCAGTGCAGACGCGACTCCCCACACCCACTGGCAACACCAACACTAAGGGAGCACTTGATTTTCCAAATAAACGGCATAAACAGCAGTAAGGATTTAGTTAAGGAGACTCTCCCGGACAGGCTGGGTCTCCCGCATCACACTGGAGGCCTTCCGAGGGCAGGGCAGGGTGTCCCCATCAGACTGAAGGTCCTCCAAGGGCAGGGCTGGGTCTCCCCATCAGGCTGGAGGCCCCCACAGGCAGGCTGGGCCTCTTTTACTCCTCCCACTGCTGTCTTAAACGAGGGCCCAGGGCACAGGGTTGAGCACCCCCATCCGCCTCCATTCTCTTGGGGCTGGAGAACGCTCATAGGGCCCCTGGGTGTCGTGTGAGGATGGTGCTGGGAGCCAGGGAGGGGCTGCAGGGGGAGGCCTAGGAGTTGGAGATGTCCTTCTTCCTGCCAAACAGCTGGAGACCCAGGTCAGTTGGGGGCCCCCAAAGGCCCTGGGAAAGCCGGCTGTCCTCACTCACCTTCCTCTCGGAGGGCCGAGGAGATAAGATGCCCTTGGAGGGAAGTGACTGGGGTTCAGGGGACCAGGGAAGCCCCCAGAGTAAACCAGGGCGGAAGGGAGCCTGTGGCTCCACGTCCTCCCAGGAGAAAGGAGATCAAGAAGGCAGGGCTGCCGGGGCAGCAGTTTGCCCTCCCGTGGGTGTCTCCCTGGCCCCGGGCCCGGCCCAGTAGCACCAGTGAGGTCAAAGGTCCTCAGTGCTATGTCCCAAGCAGCCCCTCAAGTGGGAACAGCCCAGGAGTCAGCGCCAGCCCCCAGCCCTGTGCCCCTCAAAGGAGGATCACAGCTCCAGCACACACCCTCAGTTCCCCACAAGTGCTGCCTCTGCCTGCTGCCTGGGGGCTGGGCCGTCGGAACTCCACCTCCCCTTCCCGGCACCCAGGAAGGGCCGGCGCTGGCCAGGCACTGTGGCTTCCAAGCACCATCTCGCTCAGTGAGGACATGATGGTTAATTTACACGTCAACTTGACTGGGCCACAGGAACCCAGATATTTGGCGAAATATCGTTCTGGGTGTGTCTGGAGGGTGTTTCTGGGTAAGATTAGCATCTGAATGGGTACTGAGGAAGGCAGATGGCCCTGCCCAGTGTGGATGGGCCTCATCCAGTCCCCTGAAGACCTGAATAGAACAAAAGGGCCGAGAAGGGAGAATCTGCTCTCTCTGCCTGGCTGCCTTTGAGCTGAGACGTCAGTTCTTGCCTGCCTGCGCAATCACAGGAAACATCAGCTTTTGGGGTCTCGAGCCCGCCAGACTTTGAACTGGAGTTTACGCCATTGGCTCTGCTGGTTCTCAGCCCTTCCGGTCCAGCTTGCTCAGCCACAGACCTCGGGGCTTCTCAGCCTCCACAGCCCCATGAACCAATTCCTTATAATAAACCTCTCCGTGCACACGCACGCGCGCGCACACACACACACACACACACACACACACGTGGTCAAATACATTCTGTTAGCTCTGTTTCTCCAGAGAACTCTGACTAATACAGTGAGAAAAAGGACTCCCAGGAAGGGACACTTATCTCATTTTTACAGATTGGAAAACCAGCGCCCACACGGGGCCAGCACAGAGGTACCCGGCTGGTAGGTGGCAGAACTGGAAAGCAAAGCCACAGGCCCAGCTCCAAAGACAGCACCTCTGTGCGGTGACGAGAACAGGAAAGTAAGCAGGGAAGTGGTGGCCCGCGACCCTTACACTCACCCCCAGTTTCAGAGCTCATTCGTAGTTCCCCATGCCTCAGTGTCCCCATTTGTCACATGAGTATTGTACCATCTGGGACAGCCCTGACAACCTGTAACTGCACGAGGAATAACCAAGAAGGCAAGGAAGCCGCCCCGGAGAGCTACGCCCAGAGCTCCCGGTGGCAGCTCATTCCAAATTGATAATCCAGACAAATCGGGTGACAGCAAACATCACCAAAATACCACTCAGGGAGCCACACCCGAGTCTCACACCAGCTGCCCGGGAGGGACTGCAGGGTGTGGCAAGGTGGGATGGGCAGCGCTGGTCAGAGAGTGACAGGCGTGGCCCCGGGATGAGCCAGGCATGAGCCCCAGGATCAGGCCCTCATTCTGGGGCCAAGCATGGGCAGCGCTTGAAACGGGGCAAGGCAGGACCCAGGCAGCCTCGACCCCATGTTGTTCAAAGAGCCCAGCCTCCAAGGTGGCTGCGTCCACACTGGCCACACCCTCAGCACAGCCAGGGCTCCGTGGGTACAAGCCCTGGGTACCAGTCCCAGGACAGGACCCGCCCCACCGTCACAGGCAGCAGCAGACACAACTCAGGATCCACTGCGGCTGGGCCCCTTCCCCCCTCGGCAGCCCTGGCGACACTCGTCAGAGGCACAGGTCAGGGCCCAGCGGGGATCTTGGGCCCCCTCTGTTTCCCGACAAACTCTGTCCCATCCACCTCTGAGACACAGCTAGGAGCTGAGAGCAGTGCTGGAGGGGGCACAAGAAGGGTCGGCAAAAGTGAGCCAGGCAGGTGGCCCCACGGGCCAGGGGCCACGAGCCACAAGACAGAGCCAGTACCTGAGTCTGCAGGGTGGTGGCATCCAGGACAGTGACCCGGGGCCCACAACTGGCCCACACAGCGTCCTCCAGGCTCAGCAGGGTGCGGATGGGCCCTGGCCCCACAGTCAGGCACACGGGAGGGCTCTCCAGGTCCCACAGGACTCCTCCTGGAGGGGGAGGAAAGAGGCAGGTCAGGGCGGGAGTGGCAGGCAGGTCAGGGGCCCAGGGCTCCCCCGGCCCACACACACCCTCTCCCGCTGCTGTGGCCTTTCTCCCTCCTCTGGCTGGAGGGTGGCTGCTCCCATCTGCCTCTGACTCCACCGCTATCTTCCGCCCCATCAGGGACTGTGCTCTTAGATCCTTCCCTTCCCGCCCTTTCCTCCTGCCCTTCCCTGCCCCTCTTTCCCATTCATTCGTTCTGCACACACTTAGTAAGCACCTGCTCCAAGCCAGGCCACATGCTGGGGGCTGGGAAGACCAGAATGAGTCAGACACCGGCCCTGCCCTCAAGGAAACCCCACTGGTCAGAGAAACCAACAGGTTAATCAACAGGCCCCCTGCAACGTGCCAAGCACAAGTGAGCAGGCATGCGCAAGAGGCCTTGAGAACTGCTGAGATGGGAGGAATTATCTCTGCATGAGGGGAAATCAAGGGAGGCTTCTTAGAAGAGGCAGCATCCACACCGGACCCTGCCAGGCCAGTGTGACACGGTGGAAAGTGTCCTGGACCCAGAGTCAAGACACTTGAGGTCTGGCCCTGATTCTGCTACCAACTTACTAAGGACCCTTAAGCATATCTCGCCCCTTCTCAAGGCCTCAGTTTCCCCACCTGTAAAATTGGGGGGCAGGTATTAAAAGGTTGTCTCTGAGGACTTTTCTCACCCTGTAGCTTATCCAGACTGAATCTCGATTTCTCGTGCATCTTCTTGCCTATTCCAAGGCACTTCTGTCAACTTTACCAAGATCTCCGATCTCTTTGCCAAGGTCCCTCCCCGCTCCAGAAACGTCCCTGCCACCAGCTGCAGAAGGAGCACGCTCTGAGAGGCAATCAATCCCTAGCCTGCCAGCCCTGACGGTGAACCAGACCGAGGGCCTCGCCTGGCTCTGAGCGAGGTGCTTCCCTCCCCCAGGGGTGCTTGGCTCACACGGCAGCCATCTCCCCCGGCTCCAAGCAGGGTGTGCTGAGATTGGTTTTCCTCCACCTGATGCCACACGGAACCCCCGTGGCTGCCCTGTCTTGACAGGGTGCCAGGTGGGAGCAGGGCTGAGGAGGAAGCTGGCTGCTGGCTTACCGGAGCCCTGCTGCCCCTGCGCCCTCCACCAGATACCCGGAACAAGTACAGAGCAGCCCACCACAGACGGCCCCTCCTCTCCAAGCCAGCTTCTGGGTGGCACGACGGGGCACAGCTGTCTCCAGGGCTGGAGGGGCCCCAGGGTACACGAGGGAAGCCTCCCAGTTTTCCTCCCACTTCTATAAAACAGATGCGCCTTGTGCCCTTCTTAAAACGGGCAGACTCCAAGCTCAGCCAAGAATTTGGGGAAAAGGGACTCCCCCACCCCCAAACCATCTTCCCAGCCCATGAGCCAGAGCACGTTGGAAGTGGGCCAGGCCAGAGCAGTCTGTGGCCCCTGAGCTTCTGCACGAACTTGGACAGGAGCGTTCACCCTGCTGGGCCTCAGTTTTCCTCATCTGTATACTGGGCCTGATAACCACGCCTACACCGCTCCAGATGTCACAGGGAGCCCGTGAAATGAGCATAGACTATAGCTGGGCACAGGCAGAAGTGCCGACAGCTGTTGCTACATCCCGTTCTATGTCCGCACGCCAGGCACTCTTCTGATGAATTGTTTCCTTAACGCCCAACAAGCCTGTGTGGTAGATACTATTATTATTCCTGTTTACAACTGCGACGACTGAGACGCAGTGAGTTTAAATAACGACCCTAATTTGCACCGCTAAAAAGGAGTCCGTGTTCATTGGCTCTTACCGTTTGATGTCATTTGACACAACACGACGCTGTGTCAGGGCAAGTGTTGACTCCACGTAACCAATGTGACAACACAGACCCAGAGAGCCAAGAGCCCGGGCAAGGCCACCCAAAGGTGACGGGCCAGGTGGGATTTCAGCTCGGCTCTGGCTGGCTCTGGGCCTAGCCTCTTCTCCAACCCCTCTGCCCTCTCACGCTCTGTGGCTGGGACTGGGGTCCGGGAGGGGTGAGCGACGGCGGGGAGGCTGACTCCACCGATGCCACAGACAACAGCACGCAAGGCTCTGAGCGCCCCCCAGTGGCCAGAGGTGAGTGGTGTTTGTGGCAGAAGCAGGAGCTCCGGCTGCCGCGGCCAAGGTGGGGGCTGGGACGACACCCCAAACCTGGGAAGTGGAGGCTCTGCCCTGGGGGCTCAGCAGCGATGGCCACCGGAGCCCTGCACCCTGCACCCTGGACAGAGCCTCGCCGTGGCTGCCGGGGGCAGGGGCTAGGGCCTGAAACCCCCGAGGGTCACATGGAGGCTGACGGCCTCCTCCATGTGCTGGGAGTCTCCAGAAGTCCTCTACGTCCTGACTCCAGGACAGAAGGACATGCCGTGACAAAATTTAATAATGTCGACACTGTTGCATCAAAAAGGACACTGGACAGGAGTCCCCGATTAGAGGCCCATGGTGAGACCCTGAACAAGAGGCTTCCCCTTGTGGGGACTCGGTTTTCCCATCCGCACGACGAGGGCACAGAACTTGGTCCTCTAAGGGTCTCCCCAGCCCTCACACAGCGTGATTCGAAGATTCTAAACGCAATGGCTGTGAGCTCTGGGCCGGCGAGAGCCTCCCCTGCCTGGCAGGGGCTCCATCCTCTCCACGCGCCCCCCATGTTCCGGAACACGCGCGCATACGCGCACTCCCGCCCCTGCGCGACAGCCCATTTGTCTGCGCCCGGCCCCAGCCCTCACAGCCAGCCAAAGGGAGACGAGGGCCTGTCTCAGCAAAGGCACCTTCAGGAGGCCACAGGGAAGAAAGCCCCACTGGTCTCCCCCGGGGGTCCAGATCCGGAGCTGGAAAGCAACATAGAGAGAAAGTCATCGCGGCTGAGAGGGGCCCACAGGGCAGCCCCGCCTGGTGAGCAACAGCAGGTACTGAGAGCAAGGGTGGCGGCTGTGAGAAAGGGCGCAGTGGGGGTCACTGTGTTCCAGGCTCTGCCGTAGACACATTACTCCTCACAGCCACTCTAAGAGCTACTTCCCGACACACTGACACAAGCCCAAGGCCCTCGTGACCAGCCCTGTTTGCCCCGGGCCATGCCTAGTACCGCTTCCTCCTCTGACCTTCCAGCACAATACGACCCTCTGGGGTCCCCCACCAGACCAACCGCTCTCCTGCCTCCAGGCTTTTGCACATGCTGTTCCCTCTGCCAAGAACGCTGTTCCCCCTACTCTTCATTGCCTGGCCGCTCCTCCTTCAGTCCTCAGCCCCAGGATCCCCCTCCTTGGAGAGGCTTTCGCCATCCACCCCCAACACACTCAGGCGGCCAGGCTCTCACGCGGCACCCCACCCCTCCCCTTAGGAACCCCAGCGCAATGTGGGTCTCACGCTTCCTGCCTGCTGACTTGCCTAACCCTGTCTCCCGCAAGGGCAGGGGGCACGTCCATTTTGCTCACCACTGAATCCATGGTACATAGTAGGTGCTCAGTAAATATTTGGTGGGCAAATGTTCGCAAAGCAAGAAAGCTGGTGAGACATCTCAGCCTTTTCCTCCAGGCCCCTTGGCCTCAGCTCTGCTTGGAAAAGCCAAAGCCCCTCACGTCTGGAGAGGGCTCTAGCCCAGGAGGCAGGATACCTGGGTTCAGCTCTCAGCTCAATCATGGGACTTTGGACAGACAGTCCGTTGCCATCCAGAAAATGAGGGGATGGGCCCCAGTGGCTCTTCTGGTTCTGACGAACTCCCAGCCTCTGACCCCAGGCTGAAAGCCAATGCGGAGACCCAGATCTCTCTTTATGGGTTAAGCTGTGCCCCCAAAATCTGCGTGTTGAAGTCTTAACCCCCAGTACTTCCGAATGTGATCTTATTTGGAACTAGGGTCTTGCAGATGTAATGAATTAAGACGAGGTCATACTGGAGCAGGGTGGGCCCCCGATCCAAGACGATTGGTGTCCTTACGCAAAAGGGAAGTTTGGACACGGACACACGTAAGGAGAATGACTTGTGCCCCACAAGCCAAGGAACCACCAGAAGCTGGGAGAGAGGCCTGGACCAGACCCTCCCTGGCTCCTTCTGAGGGAGCAGGCTCACGGACACCGGACCCCAGACTCCCGGGCTCCAGAACGCGAGAGGCTAAATCTCCGCTGTTCGTGGTACTTTGTCACCGCAGCCTCACCTCCTCCCAACCCCGGCTTCCACACGGATGAGTCGGGAACCCAGAGGGAAAGGGCCAAAGGCAACCCGAGCTGGGCCAGGCGGCGGTGCGAGGCCGGCCTCACGGCACGGGCGGGAGCCAGGGGGCGGGGGGTCCCTTCGAGCGGGTCCGAACCTCCTCAGATCTGAGCCCACAGTTACATTTGCACACACGCTCCGTCTGACAGTGAGAGGGACTTTTTTCCCTCCCTCTTCCCCCTTTAATTAAAAACTATAAATGCCTTATCAAAAGCTAATTAAAAATACCAACACAGTGCCAAGTGGCAAAAAAAAAATAGCTCAGTACAAATATCCGTTTATAACCCTGCAACGGGCAGTGATGACGCAGCAGTCAGCCGCGCGGAGGAAGGGAGGAGAGAGCGACAGCCCTGGCCCTTCAGGCTCACCTGCCCTCTCTGGGGGGCTCCACCGGGCCCCCCTCATCAAACTGGGGGCTGAACAAGCCACCGGGGACGGGAACACAGCACCCGTGTGGCTGCAGACAAGCTGCATCCCGTCCCTCGGTCTCAGCATCACCGTCCCCACAGCAGAGGCGATTCTCAGGGACTGGGTGAGAATTCGGATGATGCGTGTGCATTAAGCACTTTGCCCACTCCTGGGGCACAGCAGCCCGAACACTGCTAGCCCTGCCCTCCCGACATGGCAATTTGTGCCAGTGACGGCCCAGTAAAATAACCAGACTGAAACACTTGACTCCACTGAGCTGAGCCTTCACCGAGCTACTGAACCCTCCAGAGCCTGTGGGGGTGGGGCACTCCCATCACTCCCAGTTTGCAGATGAAGAGCCCAAGGCACAAGAAGGGAAGCCACTCACCAAGGGACACAGCTGCTACCAGGGCAGAGCATGAACAGGAAGCCATGTCTCTCCGACCCCCAAGTCCCTCTCTGATCCGTGGAGTCCCCCTGCCAACGGGCTTCGCTGCTCTATTCCAGAGGGGATTTGCATACAGGGGGCCCATGCAGGGAACCCCAGTGGGGCTCGGGGATCTCCAAATCCCTCCAGCACCGAGACCCCCCCAATCCATTTCTGCACTGTCCCCTCAGCTGCCTTCTGCAACTCCCCTGGCAGAAGGCCCGGCACCCAGCCGGCACCCAATACTGCCTCCCAGCCGCCCAGCCGCCCAGCCCCAGTCCTTACCACTGGCCCGAGGGTAGGCAGCGAGGGTCCCGTCCTGCAGGCCGGCAAGCAGGTGGAAGGGGCTGTGCCGCAGGCAGAGCACGGGCTGCAGGCCTGGACTCCTGCAGGTCGCCAGGCACTGGGTGCCGGTGTCCACGCTGCCGTAGAGCAGGATGCTGCGGGAGAGGTCCAAGAGCTGACCGGGACTCACCGAGCACCCCCGTCAGCTCGCTGCCCCCACACCCTCCTGGGGAGAGGGGCCCAGGGCCTTCTCCCCCTCGGCCAGGCCTTGCTGCGGTGTGGCCGAGCCATGGCTCCGCCACGTGGGAGCTCACTTTCCCATGGACGCTTTTCGGGGGTGGTGCCCTCCCTGGCCTCTGTCACGAGAAGGACTCGGGGAGGCTCCTGAAGCAGGACAGGAAGGATGCCAAGAGCTGTTCTCAGAGTCACACAGACCCGAATCCAGACCCGTCACCTCGCGGCTGACCAGCCCTGGCGTGCTGAGCCTGAGTGCTCTGCATGGATGGGACGATGACGCCCACCTCCCCGCCATAAAGGAATGGGGCGTGACACATGCCACATGGGTGCGCCTTGCAAGTGAGGCCATGTGAAGAGAAGCCGGGCACGAAAGGCCACGGTGTGTGAAACGCACATAGCCTGAGTCCATTTATGTGAAATGTCCCGAAGAGACAAATCCAGAGAGACAGAAAGCAGATTAGTGGTTTCTGGGGGACGGACAGGAGGGGAATGGGGGTGATTACTAAATGGGTATGGGTTTCTTGTGGGGGTAATGAGAATGTTCTGGAAGGCCCCTCCTAAGTCCAGGCCCAGACTTCACAGAGCGTGGGGCAGCTGCAAGTGGGTTCTACGTAACGTCAGCCGCGCTCCTCGCTCAGCTTCCTGCGCAGAAACGGGAGGAAGCGGCTGGCACTTCGCAGTGGGGCTGCAGGGAGGCTCACGCCCTGAGCCGGGGAGCAGCACACAGTAGGTGCTCAGGGAACACGCATTCTCCTCGTTTCCTCCTCTCGGGGAGCTCAGGGAAGACAGGACACGGCAGTGCCAGGTCCACGGGCTCTCCGGGGGCTGCGGCCCAGCTCAGGGTTGTCGTTAATCTTCACCTTCACCTCCCAACGCACGGGCACGAGTATTTCCTCACCCTTCACACCAGCCTCCTCTGCTGAACCCGGCAGGCACAGACCGTGAGCCTTCTCACTGCCGGGCCGCGTGCCGCTGACTCGCCAGCTCCGGGCACGTCCCACAGAGGGCAGCCCCGTCTGCCACAGTGACCTCATACCCGGGAACGCCCTGGAACCCTCGCCCCGCCCAGCAAGGGGAACTGAGGCCGCAGACGGGTGGCCACTCAATGAGCCGAATGGACAGAAGGCTTCACGTGGCCCACGTATCAGAGGACGCTCACAACGGCCCTGCGTGGGGGGACTCGGATCCCACTTCATAGACAAGAAACTGAGGCTCAGAGAGGTTGAATGGTGTGCCTGAGGAGCCACAGCAAGGTAGTAGAGAAGCTGAGATTCAAGCCTGGCTCCGGGTGACCCACACGGCCTCAGAGGGGACTGCAGTGCAAGCTGATGCTCTGGCTGCCCCATGGGGTGGCTCTGGCCCCCACCTTCCTGGGGACGCCCAACCAAGGGCAGAGAATGTTGGTGGGCGACAGGCATGTTGGGAAAGCCACAGGGACAGCCCCGCCCCGCCCACCTGGCCCTGCACACACCACTCTCCCCCGCATCCCGGGCCCCTCACCTGCCATCCTGGAGCCCCAGGCAGATGGTCGGATGCGCCGCGGCCGAGGGGTCAGCAGCTGCCCGGCTCGCATCCCCACTCTCTGCATCCTCCTCCGGCTCCGGGATGTACTCCATGCAGAGCACAGGGGCTGCCAGCGGGAAGGACTTGACGGTGCGGGGCGAGGGCCGGTTCAGGGAGAAAATCTCCACCTGGCCCCCGGCGCCCTCCTGCCCGCCCCCGACCTGGGAGCAGAGACCCAAAGAGGCCGTCAGGCAGGAACTCGGGTAACAGAAGTGGCACTCAGCCCCTGCCTTCCCAGGGACCCTGTCCCTCAAGAGGAGGTCCCCTCTCCTCCCTATACACATCCCGCGGTCACGAAGGTCACTGGTCCCCAGGTGCCACGACAACAAATTAGCATCAGGGCCCAAAGGAAATCTGGCAAGGAGCTCTGTGGACTAGATACGCAGTCAGTTTTCTATTTCCCCTCTGCAGGGTGCGTTTCAACCAGTAGATAGTCAACGTTTACTCTACACCTTCAAAATACCTTCTCCGCCTGGATCATTGTTTGACCCTGTGTCTAGCACACGCCAGGCACTCAGCATGCATTAGCCTGGCTGGATGGACGGTTGGATGCATGGAAGGGTGGGTGGGTAGACGGTTGGATGGTCGGAAAGAGGGACAGGTGAGTAAGTGATGGATGGATAAATGGATGGGTGGGCGGTGGGTGGGTGGATGGATGTGCTAGATAGCGGGGAAACGAGGAGCAAATTACTCTCAAAAGGGGAGTGCCGCTGAAAGGGCACAATCTGCATCACAAGGAGCCCGGGGGCACCCCGTGAGTCATGGCAGGCTATGCCAGGAAGCCCGAGGGTACAAAGGTGGCTGGAATCTCTGCATGAGTAGGGTACCAGCCAGCCTGCTTCCCGACTCCAGGGGGAGACCCTGCGCCCAAGGCCCCGTGCAGGGGTCCCGCTCATTTCCTTCACAGCGCCGCGGCCACCTGCAAGAGCTGTGCTCTCTTATTTGCTCTCTGGTTTTCTGCTGCCCCAGGTGAGGCTGCACCTCCCAGCTCCAAGCACAGCACCTGGCGCCAGAGGTTCCTGGGAGGACCCCGCTGCACGAAGCTGCACAAAATGGGGCCCAGCAGGCAGGCGGCTGTCTCCAGTGCCCCTCCCAGGTGCCGCTCCTCCTGCTGCTGCCCTGCGGCCGGAATCCCTGGCTGGGCGTGGGGGGTGACTCACCCAGAGGTAGCCCTGTGGAAGGGAGGTGCTGACTGCCGAGAAGCCCAGCAGGGGACAGCTGACAGGACTGTGGACCAGGGCCCCGAGCTGCAGAGACAGAAGGCGCACGTGGGTTTCATCATCCAGGTGCTGAGATGCCCGTTTTGGGCGGATTCCTGGGCCCTATCCAGCCCCTGAATGAGAACCCCTGAGGGTGGGGGCTACGAAAGCGTCATGCTTCACTGGGTCTCCAGGCAGTTCCTACACACTCGTGTTTGACCATCACGCTCCTGGAACCTTCCATCTAGAAGGGGCCTGAGTGATGCTCAGTGTCAGCCCAGGGTGTCTGAAACTGGTACGGTTTGTTGAAATTCACCAATGCCCACCCTCCTTATTTTACAGATGGGGAAATGAGGTCCACAGTGGATAGGTGACTCCCAGGCTGCAGAGAGGTGAGTCGCAGGGAGGCCCAGGACTGGGTGGCTGGTGCAGGTCGTGCACAGAGGCCAGGGGCTCTGCCTGCGGCCACCAGCCGCCTCTCCTGCTGAAGCCACCGCCCCGGCCCCACGCTGGTGGCTCCTCAGAGGCCCGTTTCCTGAGCCAGGCCTGGCCGATCCATCTCTCTGGCCAGGACAGCAACATCAGGAACTGGCCTGGCCCTCTCATGGGCCACACTGAAGGGGAAGGGGACAGTGGGGACAGCTCCTGCCAAGTGAGGAACACAGTGGCCACCGGCCCTTTCCCAAGCAGGTGCTGCCCTCTGCTGGTGTTGCTGGCCGTGCACCAACTGGAATATTCCTACAAAATTTCCAACAGCCAGGTGTGAGGGTGCCCCAAGAGGTCACCGCATCCAGCCTCATTTGGCGGTGGACCAACTTGAAGCTCAGAGGCAGGGATGTGACTGGCTCGAGGTCACACAGAGAGTTAGTGGCAGGGTCAGGGCTAGAACTCAAACCTTCAATGCCTGTCCCGGTGCTCCTTCCACTCTAGATTCTGCCACAAGTCTCAGGCTGCAGGCCGAGGCCTTGGCACTCCGGGCCCCACCTCTGCCCACTGGGAACGTGGGTCCCCACGCCCAGAGCAGGTGGCTTCTCTAAGCCTGGCTCCCTGGGCTCCCTGCCTTTTCTGCTCCTTGGCGGCCTCATGGAGCTAGGAGTGCTCACCCTGGCTCAGATATCTCCATGGCAACTCCATGGCCCCAAAGTCAGCTGGATCAACAGAGCTAGGTCTAAGATGACGGTGAAAACTCAAATTGCTCCTTAACCGGCAAGGCCCTGGCCCTAAAAGTCTTGCTCATGCCAGGAAGCCGACTTCTGGAAAATCCAGGCACCCCGTGCAGGGGAGAGGAGGGGAGTGCAGTGAAAGGAAGCAGGCTTTGGACACAGCCAACCCGTACGCCAACCCCAGCTCGGCAGTTACCAGCTGGGTGGTCCCAAGCAAATCAGGTCCTGCCCTATGAAGCAGAGACGCCGGCATCAAGTCAGGAGGGCCGTGGGGACTGCACGGGGAAGGTGCAGAGCAGCTAAGGCTTACTGAGAGCTGCCTATGGGATGTTCTAGCACTTCACACACATGAACTCACACAATCACCAGAGCAACTCGATGGGGCGGGGGCTGTCACAGTGGGAAAATGGGAAGTTCTGGCTAAGAAGCCAGTGAAGGTCAGGACGGAGGCCACAGACCCTGGGCAGGTCTGGGCTACAGTCCCTCAGTCCCCCAAGATGCTCGAGTTGTAAACCCCTCAGAGCAGGCAGTACCCCACCCCTGTCTCCACAGCCCCGTCCCTAAGGCCCTGACCCCAGGCAGGCTCTGAAACTGATCCTGGCCCAACGGGGCAATGGGCCTGTGCTGAGCCCTCCCTGCCTCCCCTGGATGGAGCTGGGGGTCCGAGAGGACTCCTCTAACACCCCAGCAGCCGGGCCTTGGGAAACTCCACAAAACGGGCCCACGTGACCCCTCCTTCCTGAGGGCCAAAATGTCCTTGGGTGTTCGCTTCCATGTCTTGAACCCTGAGCACAAACCACAGGACCAGCTGAGCCCTTGACCTGAACTGCATCACTTAATCCTGACTGTGACCCCCCAGGGAGGTGCTGGGGCCACCTCAGCTTACACTCAGCACACACAGCTGGACGCTGCGAGCTGCAGCAGCATTCCTGACGTCACTCCGCTGGGACACGCAGGGCTGGGGCTCCGCCCAGGGCGTGAGCAGAGGCCCCGGTGAGCCCCGTGTGGGCACGGCCGCCCGTCCACTGAGCAGACACCTGCTCCCACCTCCTGCCCGACACCCCGTTCCCTTGAGGGACAGAACCCACCACACCCTCGTGCAGCTGGGACTCGAGCACTGATCTCGTCTCTACTGGGAAAGGGGTTGAGGCTGGCAACTCCCTCAGCCCGGTCCAAGCCCTGCCCAACAAACAGGCCAGCCGGAGCCGGAGCATCTGCCCCAGGAGGGCCTGGGAAACGCGGTGGGCTGGGAAGGGGCCCAGGCAGCGGTCCACGCACTCACATCTGCTTCTGCAGTCACTGGGCGAGGCGCTGGCACTCCAAGGCCCTAATTCATCTGGCTGACAGCGCAGGGCTAACGGGGCACATCTGTCTGGGCCGGGGTGGGAGGGGGCGTGGGCAGAGCGGGAAGGGCGTCTCAGGGCCCAGTACGTGGTCCAGGAGCCCCGCAAGCGCCTTAGCCATGGAGATTCACTCACGGTTCCCTCAGTGAGCACGGGGACTCCTCAGGAGACATGGGCAGCGGGCCTGGCGGGGACTGAGGATGCTTCTGGCCTATGTGCTCCTGGGCCCCGAGAGCTCCAAGCAAGGAGATTCATGGGCCCTTGTCCTCCAGGTCTGAGGTGGCAGATGCTCCCCACCTGGGTCAGGTTTCTTCCAGGGAGGCCCTGGAGGCAGCAGCCTGTCTGTGACTCCACCACCCGGGTCTGGCCTGTCCTGCACTCCCAGGAAATCGGGGCCCTCGGGGAGACCGGAGAATCCCATCGCCACCACAGAAGTCCCCCAGGGTCGGCCTTCGCCATGGGACGCACTCAGGCCAGGTGAGTTGCAGGCGCGGTGGACCCTGATGGTCCCTGCTCCACGGACTCTGGTCTCCACCCCAAGGCCGCAAGGCCCACGGTAGCCCCCACTTTGTCTGCAGTTCACTCTCACACGACAGCCAGAAGGGTCCAATGGGTCTAAAATATAAATCAGATCGTGCCCGTCTCCAGCTTGGAAACACGCTCCGAGAATAAAATCCAAGCCCGACCCATCCTGCGAGGCCAGCGTGGTCCAACTCACGCTCCGACCAAGTGCAGGGCCCGCCCGCCCTCTCTCTCCTCCTGCCTCGCCGAGACACAGCCACGCTGGCTCCCCCGACTGTTGCTGTCGCATCCACCCTGTTGGTTTGTCCACTTGGAATATTGTTCCCCTGGGCCCTCATGGGGATGGATCCTCCTTCTTGCCATTCGGGTCTCAGTTTAAATGCCTCCTCCTCCAAGAGGCCCTCCCTGAACCCACTAACCATACGGCCCCATCTATGCATCTATTGTATCATATCATTGATTGCTTTATGACACATACCACTCTAATCTGTTGCCTTTTGTTTGCTGAGTTTGTCCTGTCTCTCCCCACTAAATTGAAAGCTACATGAGGACTGTATGTCTCAGGCACCACTGTATTCCCAGTGTCTAGCACACGGTAGGTACTCAAAAATTATATGCCTAATGGACAAATGAATCAATGAATGAGCAAACGAACTCACATCCCAAGGCTCCATACTTTCAGCTGTTAGATCCCCAATCTATAGCCCAATCCGCACATCTCCTGGGGCTTATTGACCTGGGCCTGGGTCCCAAGCTTGCTCTCCCATCCCCGAGCTGAGGCGGCCTCATCTCCCTGGGAGAGAAGGGACAGCAGTTGCTCCATATGGAGGGACGAGCTTGGCCAGGACACGAGGGGCAGGTGACCAGTGCTGGCTGAGCATCCTGTGGTTAAGACCACGGGTGCTGTACCCAGGCGGGGCAAGGTCCAAACTGCCGGATCCATTCCTCACTAGCTGTGTCCTTTTTGGAAAATCATGTCCCCTGTCCGAGCCTTAGATTCCTTATCTGTGAAATAGACACAGAAACAGCTACTCATGGGTTTTCATAAACACTAAAATAAGAGAATGACAGCAAGGCCCTGGGAAGCACGGGATGCCTGGTGGCTGTGAAGAGTGCCGAGACGGGGGCAGCCCCTGCACCAGAGCCGGCTCCCACCCCGCGGCACCGTAACGGGCCCAACCCACAAATTCCGGCATCGCCGCTTCAGCATGTTCTGGAATCATGCCATCCACTGGTGAGATCATCGCTATTTATTATCTCAAAATAATGTAATTTTCCATTCACTTGACCCGCAGTGGTCACGTACCCCCATTTCTTGGCGGGAAAGCTGACTCCTGGAGCAACGAAAAGGCTCGTTCAGCTTGTCCGTGAGAATATGCAAGCTGGACCAGGAACCGGAGCCTTTCCTGTTGGGGGCGCTACCTGGAAACCGGTTCTCCCAGGCAAGGGGGAGCCACAGCCACCTCGGAGGCTGGCTCAGCAACGTCCGCTCCACTCACCTGCAGGCTGAGGGCCCGAGAGGAGAAGGCGGGGACGCAGCAGGCCAGGATCGGGCACCAGAACGGGGCTTTGCTCTTCTTGTCCTCGTCCGGACACAGCCAGCCCGGCTGGTTCTCCTCCCCTACGGCAAGAGGACGGAGGAGGGTAACGCAGGTCAGCGGCCAAGGACCAGGCGGGCAGGGAGCCACGGCGGGCCCCAGAGGCCCGGCCCCCCCAGCCGCTCCCCCACCTCCACTCCCGCCCACGTGCCGTGAAGCCCAGGCTCTCGTCCACGGCATGGGGCCAGGCTGGGAGCTTGAGTCACGGCTTGACCACCCTACCACTGAGCAACTGTGCAGCTCACCCGACTCTCTGAGCCTCAGTTTCTCTGCCTATAAAATAGGGATGATAAAAATGCCTTTGTCTGTAGCGGTTGTGGGGATCAGACGAAATAATAGATGCAAAAGGGTTTCAAAAACCGTTAAGACGCTGAACGAGTCCAAATCCCTGTTCCCTGAATTTGGGCTCCTAAGCAGCAGGCAGACCACAGCCAAGTGACGGGATGGTGACGGGGGCTTCCACACCCGCCTGGGCGGGGATGGGTGAGGGAGAACCGCTCTCCTGCTCCTTTGGAGGCTACCCTGAAACTTAGGAAGTCACCTGCCTCCAGGTCCCCCAGCCTAGCTGTGCCCCAGACCCACCCCGCCCTGCCCGGGGACCTGCTACAAGTTCAAATGCCACACCGGATCCAGACCCAGGAGCGACCCGAGACCACTGTTCTGAACAGCATCTGCTAAACCACATTCTCCGTGGAGGCTCCTTCACTCGGGCCAGGGCTCCACTCACACACCACCTCCTCCGAGAAGTCCTCCCTGATCACCCTGGCCACCACAGTCCCCTTCTCTCAGGAATCACACTAAAGACCCCATCTTGCTTTCCTCATAGCTCTCGTGACAATCTAAAGCCCTTTTGCCTATGTCCTTGTTCATGGTCTGTCTCCACGTGACTCGAGGCGGGAAGGTACAGTCAGCAGGGATCTGGGCTGACTCGGTCACCACCGCCCCCAAGCCCCAGCAGGCTGCAGGGCACGTGGTAAGGGCTGGGCTTGCACAGGCTGGAAGGGAGCACAGGAGGCGGGAGGGAGTGGGCAAAGCCCGCTCGTCCCAAAGAATCCTGCCTGCTGAGCTCTTCCTTGTTTGCACACCACATGGGGACTCCTTCCTTCCAGGAAGGCCAACGGCCAGGACAAAGACACCTACTGTGTGCCTCCACATCAGGCACCGTGCCAAGTGCCACCGATCTCTTCCTTGGCTTTGTCTCCACAATAACTGAGCATAGTCGGAACCATCATTTTTCCTTCTCAAAGGATGAGACTGACACTCGGGGACACAGTAGCAGGACTAGGTCACAGGGGTCACGCCCAGGTGGCAGAGCCTAGATCGGGGCCTAGGTCTGTCTGACGCCCAAGACTGAGTTCTTTGCACCAAACCAGGCAGCCTTCGGCGCCCACCAAGGCCACTGTCACAGCGGCCTGTGGGCACAGCGAAGCTGGACGACGAGGCGTAGCTCTGCCCCAGGTAGCCAGAGCCACTGGACAGGCACCCTGAGTGAGAGGGACACTCAACGCAATGACACCAAGCTGAACCGCTGTGACGGCAGCCTTCCCCGCAAGGCCCCTCTGTGGCAAAGAAGCAGCAGGGACCCCAGGCCCGCCCCGTCCCTGACTGAGGAAGGGCCAGCCACACAGGGCCCCCAACTGGTCCTGCCCCTCCAGTCCTCACTCTGCAGCCAGGGCCACCCTGCTAAACTCACGCCGGACCTCACCGGTCCCCTGCCTGCAAATGCCGATCAAGTCCCCAGTCCACTCAGAGTAAGATCTAAACTCTTCTAGAAGAACCATAAAGTCCTCCCTCCCTCCCAGCCTCACCCCTCGGCCTCCACCTCACTAGACTGTTCTCAGGAACCTGAGCAGGGCGCACCCAGATGCTCCCTCTGCCCCGAACGCGGCCCCTCAGTGCTCTCCAGGCTGGCTCCTCTCCTTCCTCGAGAGGCTTGAACTAGCCGGCCATTTCCCCACCCCCCTCCCCCACCGCTTCCGTCTCAGCCCCGCGGGGAGGTGTCGCAGCCCTCACCACTGTTCCCAGCTCTGCCACTGGCTTGGCTCTTTCTCCATTTGTGTGCGCGTATGCGTGTGTACACATGGAGGCACTATGTACGTGTGTGTGTGTGTGCGTATACACATGGAAGCAGGGCCTCCCCTATGCCACTATGTACATGTGTTTATGTGTGTACACATGGAAGCAAGGACTCCCCCATGTCAGTATTGCACACGTGGCCTCCCCTATGCCACTATGTACATGTGTGTATGTGTGTGTACACATGGAGGCACTATGTACATGTGTGTGTATGTGTACACATGGAAGCAGGGCCTCCCTATGCCACTATGTACACGTGTGCGTACACATGGAAGCAGGGCCTCCCCTATGCCACTATGTACGTGTGTGTGTGTGCACATGGAAGCAGGGACGCCCCTGCTATCACTGTGTGCACATGTGTGTGTATGTGTGTGTATACATGGAAGCAGGGACTACATTACTATGTCAGGTGTGTGCACAAGAGTGTGTATGTACATATGGAAGCAGGACTCCCCTGCTACATATGTACACATGTGTGTGTGTGTGTGTACACATGGAAGCACAGACTCCCCTGCTATGCCAGTGTGTGCACATGTGTGTGTACATGTGGAAGCAGGGACTCCTGTTATGCCAGTGAGTGCACACACGTGTGTGTGTGTGTGTACACATGGAAGCAGGGCCTCCCCTATGCCACTATGTACATGTGTGTATATGTGTGTACACATGGAAGCAGAACTCCACTGCTATATCAGTGTGAGCACATGTATGTATGTATGTGTGTACACATGGAAGCAAGGACTCCCCCATGTCAGTATTGCACACGTGTGTGTGTGTACACACGGAAGCAGGGACTCCACTACTATATCAGTATGTGCACGTGCATGTGTACACGTGGAAGCAGGGACTCCCCTGCTATGCCATGTTCTACGAAGGCCAAAACCTTCTCCCTTATTTCCTTCTACACCACGCCTGACCTGCTCACACAGCACAGACCATCGGTACATTTCGGGGGCATGAACAAAGTCTCTTGCCAGAGCCTCATTTTCCAGGTCTGTCTGACGTACCCACTACGCAAACATGAACCTGACCTGCTTTCGTCAGAAACACCGCGGGTCAAACAGGAGGGCTGGACGCACGTGAGCAACGACGACCCCGAGAACAGCCCTTCGCCCGGCACGCTCGACAAATGCCATCGCTGCCAGTGAAGGTGGCATCTGAGTGCTATCACGGCAGGAGGAGCCGGGATGAGGCGGCAGTGTGGACGGACGCTCTTTGAGACGTTAAGGACGTTCTCGGGCATTATGATGTGAAGGTGCCCGCGCTCGGCGGGCTCACGCCCTCAGCCTGAGTCGCTGGGCCTGGGACTCGTTCCCTAAATGGGCCAAGAGGCGTTCTCTGTGTCGGGCCCTCCACCCCATGGGGCCCCATAAACAGCGTCACAAGAAAACCTGGTCCATGGCACCAGGGAGGGAAAGCCGGCGCGGCGGAGACCAGCAGGGAAAGGACCGGGCAGCACGGGATGGGACAGACAACTCCACGGACACCGCGCTTCACAGTTTACGTGTCGTCTTGTTTCGTCCTCGCAGCCACCCTGGGCGGCGAGTGATTCCATGCCCAGCCCACACCGGGCAAGCAGGGGCCGGGGAAGGCACGGGAAGGGCCCGGGCACCCAGGAACTAACTGGGGGGCGCTGTGCAGTGCCTGCCAGGCAGTGGGAGAGGCTGCCGTCCGGGCGACATGGCTCTCGTGGGCAGGGTGCTCATGTCATGGCCTGCTGGGCTGCCTCTCGGACGAGCCACTGGGCGGCAAATAAAGACGGACACCGTTTCAAAGTCTGCCCCTGCTCTCAAGAAACCAACGGCAACCAAAACCCAACCCGAACAAAAAAAAACCCAAGAAAACCCCCCAACCCCAAGTCCCCCACCGCCGCCCCCCGGAACCGGGCAAGGGGCCGCCCCCCAGGCCCCGTCACCACGACGCCCCAAGCTCATCTCCTCTCTCCCTCCCGCACACCCACAGCCCGCGTCCTGGCGATTTATTACTGTATATATTTTTTAACGATCTGACCTTCTCTTCCCAGATGGTGCCTTCCCTGCCTGCGACTGGGAACATTAAAAGAAAACGGAGTTGTTGTTCCCCATCTGCCACTGCCATTGTTCCCGTCACAAAGCCAGAGCGGCTGAGACCAAATGAGAAGGCTGCTGCCACTGAAACTGAAAGCCCGCTTGGGATAAGTGACATTAAGAACTGGCACCGATGGCAACGCCGTGATTTCCAATTGACGTTAAGTGGGGGCTTATTGAGCGTCCGGCTGTGTTTGCCGGCCCCCACGGAACACGAGGGCTCCCCACGGGACAGAGGGAGCAGCTCCAGGGCTGAAGCCCCCCCACAGCCCTCAGAATAATCCCCTCTGACTTGCTGGAAGGGCCCTGGGCAGATCCCAACTCAGTCTCCAGCTTGCTGTGTGACGCTGAGCCAGGTACTTAACCTCTCTGAGCCTATTGCCTCATCTAGAAAATGGGGGACATAATCCCAACCATTTGGAGCTGTTGAGAGCACTGGGAAGAATGTATACAACACGAGCACGTACCAGGCACTCGAGAAATAGTGCCAGCTATGATCGCTGTCAACAGCACGCCCACTGCGATCATCGAGGACGCCAAGCCCGCCGCGGGCCCCACCCTGCTTCTCCAGCCAGACCTGCCTCCCAAACCTCGACTGTGCTCCCTCCCAGCGTCACACCTTTACTGTCGCCTGGCAAAAAGCCCAGGCTGCTCTTCTTGAACTTCCCAGACCCAAGGCCACCTTCGAGGCACTGCTCACACCTCCCCAGCACCACATCAGCCTGGGCAGGACCTCAGCAGGCATCTTATCCAACACCTGTCCCCTGCAGAGAGGACCACTGGTGGCCAGGGAGGCCGGCAAGGGGTAAAACCAGAGTCGGGCTCCAAGGCCAACGCCCTTGGCCCCACCACTCCCGGCGAGCAGACCCACCACTTCCGCTGTGGGGCTCGGGCCTCTGGGACGGGTGTGGGGGGGTGAGGGGGATGAGGTTTAGGACGTGCGCTCAGCATGCTGCCCAAGCCGTGAGCAGGGCCCAGCCACTGCAGGAATAGCAGGGTTACTATGACGACTGTGGCTGGAAAAGTAAACCCAATCAGAGGGGCAGAGGAGGGCCCAGCAGGCCCTGCACTCAGGCTCACGGCCTCGAGCCACATGGACATGTCCCCGTGAGTGTGAGACCAGCCTATGGCCTGCCAGGCCCACGTCCTCTCGGGGGGTGGAAACAAGGAGGGCCATGGGAGCAAGAGGCTCCAAGAGCACGTGGAGGGTAAGGGCCGGGGAGGCAGCACTTTGCGAGCTAGTGATCAGGGAGCCCCCAACCTCACCTCTAACTTCTCTGGAGCCTTCCATCTTCAACCCTTTTGTGCAGCCTCTAGGAGCAGGAGACTAACTGGCAGAGAGAGGTGGGAGACCCCGGTCCTGCTCTGCACTGAGTTGTGTGTGACCTTAGATGGGCCATTCCCCCCCCCGAGAGATGCAGACTCGCCTTGTCCCAGGAGCCTCTCACTGCCGCCACGTGCCCACGCTGGCTGCCAGGTGCCTTCCGGGCACTGTCTCCCCACATCCTCCCGAGAGCCTGTGCAGGAGGCCTTTTCCCTATTTTCTGGTGAGAAGTCCGAGGCATCTGGAGGTTAAGTATTTTGCTGAGAGCACAAAGCTGGTAGATGGCAGAGCTGGGAACTGAACCCGGCCGTCTGGCTCCATTTCGCATGGTGCCAAAACCACCCTTTACCGCCTCTCAAACCCTCCCGTGCGCCTAAGATCCTGAATGCAACGGAGAAAGGGCCCTTCGTGATCGAGTCCAAGCGACAGATGGAAAACCAGGTCTCAGGACAGTCCTGCTCCCCCAGGACCCCACGGCACGGTGGCGGCCACGCTGGGGTTTGAACTGGGTCCCAGATTCCCCAGGGCTCCCTGCCCCTCCGACGGGCAGAACGAACGCACCCCTCAGATCCCAGCTCCCCAGCCTATGTCTGCTTCCTCAATCTCCGTGGATTATGATCCTGGCACACTGTAGTCGGGGAGGGAGGAAGATACAGAAAGAAAAAAAAATTAAAGGAAAAACATCCTTTGTGAATAAATGTTTTTAACATATTCTATTTCAAACAGGCTTATATTATCCCCCCCAAACCAGGCACTGCAGATAAAAAAAAAAAAAACTGGCAAATAAAAGGAACAAATTATTCAAGCCCCAGGGGAACCCAGGCATTCAAATAAGATTTCAAATGACTCTCCTTCCATTAAAACTTCTGCTGCAGTGACGCTTCGTGGAGATAAGGCAGCGTCTTCACGGGCGCTGAGGACTGGGGCTGCCCTGTCCCTCCAGGGCCAAGCCCCACGCAGCAAAGCACGTGGGGTTCAAGTGGGAGCTTTATCTGCCTTTAAAGCAGGTGTGCACACGGGTCTCGGGCACTTCGCAAGATGGAGCAGGTACGAGGGCGAGGAGGGGAGCGCGCGCCTGAGGCCCCTCCAAGGGCCGGAATCCCCAGTCTTATGCCAGGGATGGGGCGGCTTCTGCCCACAATCCCTTCTCCACCCTCCAAAGCCCTCCCGGCCACCCAGCAACATCCAGCGGAGGCTCGAGCAACATCAGCACCAGACCCGAGATGCACGGGCTGAGCAGAAGCCTCTGCCCCAGGCCTCTCCAGAGCCGCACCTCCTCCCCTCTCCCGCCCGCGTCCACCCCTGGCCCTCCAGAGCCCTCTCCACACAGCAGCCTGAGTGACCCGCTCAAACAGAAACCGGGTGGTGACAGGGGCCGGCTCTCAACGCTACAGTGAAGGGTTTCGCATCACGCCCAGAACAAATCCCACGTGCCTCGCCCTGGCTTTTAAAGAAAACCTGCGCCCCCCCGCCCCTCCAAACCACCCACCCGCCTACTTCTCTCCCCTTCATCCTCCAGCGCAGCCACCCCGGTCTTCCTCTTATCCCCGCTTCAGGACCTTCGTGCTGGCTGTGCCCACGCCAGGACCGCTCATGCCCTATGCCCACGGTATCAGGTGTCAGGTGTCACGGTCTCAGGAACCCTCCCTGTGGGCAGCCCCGACGCCCCGCTCGGTGACAGACGCACAGCACGACCCCTCCCTGCTGATTTGCTCCCCATTTAATGTCCGCCCACCCCTCAGAAACCTAAGGTCCTCGAAGGCAGGGATCTTTCTGTTCTGTCACTGTTTTTTCTCCCATGCCTAAAATGACTGCAGAGATTCGATAAATGGGTTGGTTCTTTAATCAATGACAGCCAGTGACAAAGGTCCCGACTGCATTCCAGAAATGTTTCAAAACCTATTGGAAATACATACTCATCTATAAAAAGATCACACCAGAAACAAAGCCAGAAAGTAAAACAAAAACAAGTCCCCGCTATTGGCTGGCATCAGCAAGTAGGAATTCTGGGACGTCACAGGGAATAATGGCTCTGATTGGCAAAGGCTTGGGCCTTCCAGCAATTCCAAAAACGGACAAATAAAGTAATTGCAGCTTGATGAGTGTGGCTTGGCAGACAGAATCTTGCCAAGTTGAGAAAGGGGAATGGACGGGGATCTAGACTGGGCTCTGGAGACAGCCTGTCCAGGGTCTGAGCCCCAGACCTGCCCCTTCCTGCTGTGTGACCTCGGCCAGGTCCCTGTGCCTCTCTGGGACTCAGAATCCTCAGTGGTCTAAAGAGGTTCACACCAGACTGATCTCACGGGGTTACTGTGAGTGTGAAATGAAAAAGATGTATGTAAAATGCTCGGCAGAGAGCCTGCCGCACAGGAAGCTCTCTGTAATACCGTTCATTTGTATTATTAGCATTATGGGTGCGTGGGAAGAAATATATAACACAGGTCTCTGGTTGAGAATCAGCTTAGTCCAGCCTGCATCGTATTGGGGGGTGAGAGTTTTATTGAGATATAATTCAGTTGCCACAAAATCCACCCGTTTAAAGTGTGCACTTCCCTGGGTTTCAGCACATTCACGGAGCTGGGTAGCCACCGCTGTCCCATTTAGAACATTTTCGTCACGCTCACCACAACACCCTTGGCGGCCACACCAAGGGACCTCTCCTCGCAGGAGCAGAATTTACTTTCTGTCAAGTCCCATCATTTCACAGTAAGGAAACTGAGGCTCAGAGAGGGGAAGTGACTTGTCCAAGGTCACACAGCAGAGACTCAGGACTCAGAACTCCAGCTCCAGCTGTTCCACCATTGCACCCCCTCCTTCCAGCTCAGAAACCTCCGCGTCCCCCCCCCGACCTCACGCATGTCCTCACATACCCCAAACCTCAGCGCTCTACACCCCTGCCCCCACAAGGTGCTGTCCCTGGGACTATACTCACGGAGTCCGATTTTGGCCAAATGCAGCCTGTTGACCCAGGAGATCTTGCTCAGGGGGTTGGGGGTGATGAAGACCACCATGAAGCTGATGGGGCGGCCGGACCTGCGGTGAGAAGGTGGAGAGCCTGAGTGCCCAGAACCAGGGCCTGGCTCCCGGGGACCGTCACCCAGTGCTCCCTCCAAGCCATGCGCCCTGGGGATAGAGGGAGGCATGGTCAGAGGATTCCCAAAGGTGGCCAAAGAGGCTGGTGGCCTGGCAAAGCCTCAGCTCCTGGGGGAGCAGTCCCTCCACCCTCTGCGGCCCCGGCAGGGGTACCTGGCCAGAGTGGCCGGGCCACACTCCCCAGCCCAGCCCCAGGAGCCTCTGGCTTTGTGCCTGGCAGGGCCTCTGCAGGCTGTGACTCCACTTGGTCAGCCAGCGGTCAGCTGTCCACAGGCCTTGTCAGACACCTTACACGTCTGACCACGAGCCTCTGGAGGGAGGCACGGGTCTCACTTGGGTCTGTTCCCAGCACCTGGCATGAGGCAGTTGCTCAGTAAGTGCTGGCTGAGTGGACACGTGAACGAATGAAGAAATGAACGACGGGGTTGAGCGCAAGCTCGGGGCAGCCGGAGGTTGCTGTCGTCACGGCACTGTCCTCTCACCTTAGAGCAGCAGGGACCCCTTTGGGTCTGTTCTCCACCATAGGCTGTTCCAGCCCCCAGGAGGTGGGCAGGGCGGAGTCTCCACCCCCCAGGGTGCGTGGGGAAAACGGGGCTCAGAGAGAAGGGAGCTGAGCCAGGCCACTGGCAGGGAGGTGGCAGATTCCAACGTGAGCTCAAAGCTGTTGATTCCCAGGCCCCACAGCCCCACAGCCCGGTCCTGCACAGCAGCGCTCCAGCCTTCTCTTCCCTGCAGCCACTGTGATACTCTGTCCCCACCTTCTCCCCTCCCTTGGGGACCAAAACCTGGGCTCTGAGACCCTCACTGCACTGGCCTGGGCTTCAGAGTCAGACCCCATCAGGACCCAGCTTGGCCTCTTCCTGTGTGGCCTTAAGCCTCCCATGCAATTCTCTGAGCCTCATCTTCCCCACCTGTAAAATGGGGACAGGAAGACCCACCTTACAGAGCTATGGGAGGATCAAAAAGATACCTCTCCCTGTCTCTGCCAGGCCGAGCGGCCAACTCTGTCATCAGTTCCACAAACGTCAGTTGGGGTCTATGTGCATCTTGAAGGTGGGGCAGTGCTGGGGGGAGCCGGGGTCCACAGAGAGGAGACCCAGGGTCTGGCGTGTGGGACCACACAGTCTGATGTGACTGAAAAGGACGTGGCACAAATGGGACCAACCAACGGCGGAGTGAGTACCCTAACAGGGAACCAGGCTCAGCCGGGGGATGAACGTGGTGTTCATTCATTCATTCGTTCATTCACTCGATGTCTTTTCATGAGCACCTACCACGTGTCAGGGGCTGTCCTGGGCACGGCCCATTCTTGACGAACAGGCTGGCTCCAGGTGACCCCCCGCAACCTGCCCGCCCCACTGGCCCAGCAGGGGCAGCAGCCCTCTCCCCCAACCCCCTCCTCTCACTTGTCGGGTTTCCCGGGAAGCAGGAGCCTGAGGCGGCACTTGTTGGCCGAGTGGATCTCCTCCTCCTTCACCCGCATCAGCCTCTGCAGCGCCAGGCACCAGTCCTGAGCCACGGCCATGTTCAGGTTCTAGGTTCAGAAGCCAATGAGGTCACCACACAGCCCGCTGGCCCCCCGGAAGCCCCACCAGATCCCACAGCAATCGCGGCACCCCAGGAGGGAGCACTGGGAAGAAGTCCTGAGCCGCGCTGGGTGTGCACGTTGGCCACGAGCAGGCGGCCAACTCCCCGTGCTCTGGGCTCAGGCCCCACCTGGTGGCCCTGCTCTGACAGGGACCCGCTCTCCCAGCCGGCTTCCTCTCCAGACTGGGCAGAGGCGCAGAAAGGGGCCACAGGACCAAATGGCCACCGTACAGAGAACAAAGAAGTTCCCGCAGCCAGGCCCTGCTCAACCCGAACCCGGGGCCACACACCAGGCTTTAGGTAGGACGTGGAGCTTCAGCCACGACTGCTGCTTGTGGGGGCTCAGAGCAAGGGGCACATCGGGCCTGAGCCAGGAGAGGGGCCCTTCCCGACTCGGCCTTTCTAGACGCTGCCCGCAGGGAGGAGCTCGGGCCGTCGGGCTGGGCCGGTGCCGCGCACCTGGTAGGTACCGTGCAGCGTGCTGATGAGGAGTGTTATCTGCTCCACCACGGCCAGGTCCTTCTGCAGGTCCTGTAGCTCCTGGAAGAGGCGCGGGGGGCCGAGGTACACCTTATCTGGGCAGAGAAGAGACCCAGCTCAGCCTCGGGGTGGAGAAGGCGCTAACAAGAGGCCACTCACAGTGAACAAGAAGAGCTGTTGCCCTGGGATGTGGCACTGGAGATCTGGAAGGAAACATCCAGTTCTTGCCCTGATGGAGCTCCCAGTCTAGGTGGGAAGACGGATCCATGTACAGGTAAAGCCTAACACCTGGGATCCAGGCCACAGGCAGCCTGTGCACAGGGTCGCAGGAGACCACAGACCAAGAACCAACTGTGCCTGTGAGAGACGAGGAGCCTGCATGTGGTGGGCTCTCCTGAGAGGGACAAGAGCACGTGCAAAGGCACCGTGGCTTGAGGAAGCCCCTGAACAGCGAGTTGTACAAAGACGCACTGAGGATATATTATGTTCCAGACACGGCTGAATTGGAGAGACAGCAGCAAACGAGATAGAGATGACAGGCCGGGCAGGAAGGGTGGGGGTAGAAGCAGTCAGTTAACAGCCACAGGTGGTGGCAGGTGCTGGGGAGACAGATATCAAGGCAGTGGGGCAGGGATGGGGTGAGGGGGCCCAGGTCTCTGGGGGTGATAAAACAAAATACTGGGGGGGAGTACAGGGGTGGGTGGCAAGAGACAGAGCAGGAGGGACTGGCAGGGCCAGATGGGGAAGACCCTGAACGCCGTGTGAAGAACTCAGCCTGTGTTCTCTCGGCCTAGGTTTCTCAAGCTGAGCTCGTACGAAGTGCTAGAGGGGTGGATGGGAAGCCTTATTCTGGGTTTTCATTGAGATGATTATCTACAGAACAGCTGCGCATGTTCTGCTGTGTGACGTCAGGGCTCCGTGGACTTTGGTGCTCGAACGGTCCCCAGGTAACAAGCAAAGAGCAAGGCGGGCTTGGGATGCGGCACGGGGCACAGGAGGGCTCCGCAGCGACCCAGGGAGGGGAGCTGGTGGGAAATGCAGATCCCCAGCAGGTGCCCCGTGGCACGGGCATGAGGTGGCTCGGGCACGGGGACGCGGAAGAACCTGCACCACCAGAGTGCCACGTCCACACTGAGAGCAATTTCGCTTCAGCAAAACGACGTCATCCATCACATGAAATTAATGCTGTTAATTTGAATTTTATTGCTTTGTAGCTTTGTTTTTATTCAATTTGTGATTTTGTTTTGGTTTTATGGTTGTTCGAGGGCTATGAGCATAAGGAGTTGATTATACCGAGTTTTGTATTTGTATATATTTGAATAACAATATGATAAAAAATCATCTAAGGCCAACTGGGGTTCAGCAAGAACTTCTTTTCCCCTGTGGAAGGGGCCCGGCAGTGCCTGGCTCTGGTTTGAGGAACGTGGCTGCAGACAAGCCAGAGGCGCTGAAGGAGGGCCCTGGGCACCCCCTAAGGACTGGGAGGGAGGGTGTGGTCTAGCAAGGGCCGAAGGTGCCCCCGAGGGAGGTGAAAGCGGCAGGGGCCTTCCCGGCTCTTCCTGCCTCACAGAGCTGGGGACAGAGACGGCATCTGCAAGTGGGCACAGCTGTCACAGCCCAGCCCCCGATGGCGAGAGGAGATGGTGCAATCACTCCTCAGAATTTCCAGAACCATAGGCAGCCTGTGAGGTGCCCTCCCGGGTCAGGCAGTGGGCAGAGGGGGAAGTGAAACCCAAGTGCCTTTCCCGTCATGGAAGGTGCTTCTGGGCACACTCCTTCCTGCCAGCCCTGCAATGTAGCGGCCTTCATGGATTCTAGGAAGGTTTATTATCGCCTGGCAAGAGCTATCGTCGCGCTAAGGAGGAGACATCAACCAAATGGTCACCAATAAAGGGGAAAATGCAACTGGCGGGCGTGAAAGGAAGGAAGGGAGACAGCCCAGCTGAAGGGTCTGCAAAGGCTGAGGAGGTGCCACTGAGCTGAGCACGATTGAGAAGGGTACCAGGACAGGGCCCGTGTCGGGAGGAGTGTGGCCCATCCAGGAGCCGAGAGGCCAGCATGGCCAAAGCAAGGAAAGAGGGGGCAGAGTGAGGGGAGGTGGGGGCAGGCGGGGTGCCCCCGAGATGACCAATGAGAGCCCCCAGGGCCGGGGGTGACACGCTCTGATCTGGTCTGTACTAACCTGCATTTTGAAAAGCCGTCCCTGGGGTGGGTGGAGGTGGACAGGAAGGGGGCGCGGGTGGGGGAGGGACGGCAGCCAGGACACCGCTGCAGCAGGCCAGGGCAGCCAGCACAAGGCGGCAAGAACACACCTGTGCGCTCTCAGGGGAAGCCAAGGCTGTGCGTTTTGGCCCGTGGGGGCCGCAAAACCAGCAAGAGCCTCCCAGCCAAGGCACCCATCAGCCTGTGTGTGGGTCCCTGGGCGGAGTCAGCCAGGTGATGACAGGCAGGGGCGAGAGCAGCAGCGGGGCGCATACTCACTCTGGGCCTGCCCCGAGGCAGAGGCCTTCTTCGCGCCCGCGTGCTGGATGAGCACGTTGTCCTTGTCGTAGGCGCCGCCGTCCTGGCCCACCTCCACCACTTGCACCTGGGGCAGCGCCGTGTTCCACTTCACCACGTACTTGGGCCCCAGGGGCACCAGGCTGCTGATCTCCAGCTGGCCCCTGCCGGGACAGAGAGGACGCAGCCCTGGAGAGCCCGCGCCAGCCCCGCGCCAGCCCCGCACCAGCCCCGCGCCAGGGCCAGGCCGCCGTGCCGCTCCCTGGCACACCAGTCCAGCCAGGCTGCACGCAGCCCAAGCACCAGACTTCAGCCAAACCAAGCCAGGCAGAGCAGGAGCCCTCGCTGGGACGGAAGCGTCAGGGTGCCCAGGCCCCAGCCCCAGATCCAGATCCAGAATCACATGCCCCCAGAGCCCCTGAGCTCCCTGAACCCTCTAAACCTACCTGTGGTTGGCAGGCCTGAGAAAAAGACAAGAAGGAAAGGAAGGTTGTTACTGTGACTCAGTGACTTTTATGGGGGCTGGGACCAGCTGGGGGCCGGCCGCGGGCTGGGTGTCAGAGCGGAAGGAGGGCAGCCTCCCGGGGGGTCATGGCATCAGAAGCCAAGTATGGCCAGAGGGGACCACACGGAGGGCCCCCCCGGATGGGCCTTCCAGCTGCTTCTCACAGCAGCCCTGCTAGGAAGCCGTACATAATCCCAGACAAGGACACGGATGCCCAGCTAGGTTAAGTGACTCAGCCCAAATCGCCCAAACGGTTCCCCCAAACTGGGCCACTAGAACCCCACTTCGCACCCCATGCTAGACCCTGAGCGGCGTGAGGGCAGACAGGGTGACCGTCACATCGCTGGCCCTACCCTGTGTGCAGGACAGAAATGGGGCTCGAGAATCACGGCCCTTGAATGAGCGAGTGAGTAAATGCACGAATGAATGGGTCGGCCAGGAGCAGCGCCCACACCCATCTGTGGCACGGCCTTCCTTGCCCGAGTCCCCACCAGGGCGCGAGCTCCCCGAGGCAGGGGCTGGGTCTTGTTTAGGGCCACGAGCTGGACAAAGTCAGGGCTCAGTGAGCACTTGGTGGACTCGCAGAGGAGCGGGCGGGTGGGGAGTGAAAGCACGGGCCCGGCGGGCCCCGCTTCCAGGACGCGTGATCGATCCGCAGCCACAGAAACCCCCGAGTCCCTCCACGGCCGCGCGCAGACGCGCACACGTTGACTCTGGGTGCAGAGTCAGAATCTCCACCGTCTCCACCTCCCCTCCCCCACACACTGCGCTGGGAGGTGGGGAGCCGGGCTGGGACTGTTTCCCCTTCTGGATCTTGGCTGTCACTGCCACACTGGTGCTTCTGTGACGCTTCGTGAAGTGTTACCAAATATTGGGAGCAGATTCTCCTAAGAGCCCAGCTAGAAAGGACACAGCTGGAGTTCTCAGGGAGCGTTTGGTTGAGGCTCCCAATCCCTGACGCCTACAGAGCCACGCAGGGGCTGCGGGTGGGTGAGCTGGGCCGGGCCGGGAGGCTGAAGGACGGCAGGGCGTGAGCCCCAGCTCTAGGCCTTGTGGCTTCAGGCAGCATGCACCTAGAGTGCTGGATCTCCTAAAGTTTAAGAGAAGCCAAACGTCTCAGCCTCGGTGTGGACCGCCTGTGTAAGCCAAACATGGATGCCCAGAAGCCTGATGCAACCAACGTGCAACCAGCTCGCAGGCCCAGGCCTGAAGTGTCACAGCCTCGCCCAACTCCGGGGCTCTAGCTCTCTCAGGCACAGCCTGAGCCGGGCTCTGGGCATTTCCACAATCTCTGGCCTAGAACCAGGACCCAGGCTCCTGTGGGCAGAGGATGCTCTGGGCTGTGGGGGAAGGCAAAGACTCACGTTGAAAAAACGACGCAATCTGGCCAGAGGAAAACCAATCTGAGTTAAAGCAGCAGGGATTTGGGCTGGACGCAAGGAAGAATCTGCTGAATTTCAACGTGGTCAAAAAAGATTGTTCAGTTACCAACTGCCGTGTTTCGGAGCAGACTACTCTGTACGACGGACGGCTGTCTGCCCAAGGCTGGGGGCTGCCGATGGCCTCTCCAGGCACTTCCCACCGCTGGGACAGAGCAGGTCGGGAGGGATGAGGGGAAAGTGGAACATCGGAGGCCTATACCAAACTCACGTGGGCCTCCCCACAGAGCGGCCAGCCAAAGAGACTAGGGTAGGACAGGATGGCGTCTCCAGGATCTCCCCAAACCCAACCCCAGCTCAGGCCCACTTACTTGAAGTTGATGTTGGCACAGACCAGCATGTCATTGAGCAGGAAGACCCTGCGCTCCTTGGACTTGATCAGCTGCCCGCGGTCACCATACACGGTCTCCGTCAACGTCTCACACAGGAGCAGCTGCCGCTGGCCCGAGGTCAACAGCTGGGGAAGGGGGCAGGGGAGGTCAGCATCACAGCCCAGCGGCTTTACCTTGCCAGAAACCCGGATTCTCCCACGGTGCAAAGGGAGACCCAGGCTGGGAGAAGCAGAGGAGGAGGCAGGGCCCCTGCTCCATCCCTGGGTGGCAAGATGCACTGGGGAAGAAGACGAGAGAAACACTCATTGGGTTCTCCACTCTGGGGAGGTCTTGGGGAGCGTGACCACCCACCGTTGTACCCACCGGGGCCCAGCAGCCAGCACCCCCTTCTCAGGTGAGCCAGCCATTGCCAGCCACTCCCCGTGGCGACCCCGCACGACCACCACAGCCAAGGACGCAGCTCTGGAGTCACAGAGACCAGCTCCACCCCGGCCCCAATCCTCAGTGGTGAAGCCCTTGGGCAGGTCACTTCCCCTGCCCAAGCCTCAGTTTCCTCAGCTGTCAAGTGGGTGCAATGACATCTACTACTGAAATCACACAAGGTAACGAACGCGTGACTGGGTCTGACTTCACGATTTTCAGAGCCCAGTGCAAAATGAAAATGAAGGCCCTCGTTCAAAAGTTATTAACAAATTTGAAGACAGCCACAGTAGAACACTAAACCAAGCATGGGGCCCTTCTGGGCACGGGCTGTGTGTGAGCGCACAGGTCATGGGCCCTTGAGGCCAGCTCTGCACGTGGCATGCAATGGGCACTCCACAGCCACGGTCTATGATGGTCGCTGCCATGGAGAGGCATGTCCTTGTGCAGGGGACGCCGGGCCTGGGAGTCAGTCCCAGCGCTGCACCCTGACCTGTGGAAAGCTTTGGCCCATCTCGCCTCTCGGACGGCCTCGTGACAGGGTTAGAACTACGGATCTGCCGGTCAACAGGGCACCACGGCAAGGAGCAGGCATTTGCCGATCTCGGGGTGGACACCAAGGCCTTTCTGCTAGCACAGGAACCACCAACCCATCCAGGGACCCGATGGGAAAACGTCCTTTTTCCTAACAGGGATTTTTTCAGGGGAGGGATATTCAGCAAAATTCATTCCCCAAACCTGTGACTCTGATGACAACCAGTATTTCTCCCTTCCTTCCCCATCCTGGCTGGGAAAGGGACAGGTCACGCCAAAGCCTCGCCTGGGGAGAATGCTGTCGCTCTCCACAGAATCACATCCCTTGAGTCAACACACAACCAGAAGTCCGAATGGGACCAAATGGCCGCCGTGTGCTGGGTACCATGGGTGGCGCCCAGTATTCCGCATCTCGCTGAGTCGGCTCCGCAGTCCCCACTTCCCAGATGAGGAAACTGAGATTCCAGGGCTAAAGCGATTTGCCAAGACCCAAGCCCTGATGAAATGACAGATGGTACAGCATAGAGTCAAGCCACGTCCACTGTCCCCTGCGCCGTGCGGCCAGTGCACGGTGCGACAGGGGCCAGGGGAGGCCCCACTGGTCCTCACACACAGGAGGACTCAGAGTTCTCCAGGGGTCCCCTACACCACTAAGGCTGGGATCCCCCACTGTTTCCACAAACAAGCTGAGCGCCAGCTCATGAAAATACTACTCGGACTCTGAAGACAGCAGGGCCCCCACAGAAGGCTGCCAAGTGTGACATGACCCACACCTTGGCAGAGGAAAGTCCCCTGGGCTCCGGCAATCACGCCCTGCCCCTTGAGCCGATTTAAAAAAACAAAAGAAAAAGAAAACCCAGATATTGCACAAACATCCCGCTGGAGCTCCTGAGTAGGCCGTTTTGAAACAGCCGGCATGGTTCCGTTTTAGGCTACACTCAGTTTCGTTTCCGCTTCTCGCTGGGTGATGGTGACAGGGACATCACTGAACAGGTTTCGGAACTGGCCGGGACTGCCCAAGGAGAGCCCCAGAGGGGAGAGCGCGGGGTACAGCCCCACCGCACTCTTCTCAACATCCCACACGTATCCAACTCAGCCCCACTCGACAGACAGAGAAACTGAGGCCCAGAGCCTCTGGTCCCCTGCCTGACATCAAACAGGCCCCCCTGACCTCCAGCCAGTGCCCACCACACTCTGCTGCCCCGGCCTCCACGGGACAGAGCAGAGGAGAACAGGACGGCTCTTCCCAGGGCAAACGCTACAAGATTTATTTCCTTCTGCCCGTGGTCTCTTCCCACTGCGGCTGCACAGATGTATGAGCCACAGCGAGAGAAAGACAGAAAGCCTCCTGGTCACAGCAAAGGGAACTGAGGGTGGGGACAGAAGGAGAAACTTCCTGAGTGCAAAGACCAGCACAGGTGGCCATGGTTGGGCTGAAGCCTTTTTCTCCAGTCGCATTCCAAACTAGGAAGCTTGTGGGGGACGGCTGAGTTAGTCCCGCCTGGAGGCAGGAGGTGGGGGAATGACCTCCGCCCCAATTAACGCCCACCTTGAGCAGTCCTGGATGGGGACATCCCCCAGGAGAGGGCTCCGTCCCCTGCCTGCCTTGTCTTCCCCAGCCCTATCGACCTGGAGCAGGTGAAGCAAACCCAGATGCCTTCAGGGCCAGCAGGTAGCATCGGTGGGAAGAGATGGGTAAGGATGAGGGGAAGTGGACAGTCACTACTCAGGAGGAAGGAGGGCCAGAGTACCAGCTCTACCAGCCCTTCCAAAAGACCCCCAAGTCTGAATTTTATGGGACATCTCCCTATTTTTTTTTTTTTTTTTTTTTGAGGCAGAGTCTCACTCTGTTGCCCTGGCTAGAGTGAGTGCCGTGGGGTCCTGGCTCACAGCAACCTCAAACTCCTGGGCTCAAGCGATCCTCCTGCCTGCAGCCAGACCTGCCCACCCCAACCTCCCGAGTAGCTGGGACTACAGGCATGCGCCACCATGCCTGGCTAATTTTTTCTATATTTTTTTTGTTGTCCGATTAATTTCTTTCTATTTTAGTAGGGATAGGGTCTCACTCTTGCTCAGGCTGGTCTCGAACTCCTGAGCTCAAACAATCCTCCCGCCTCGGCCTCCCAGAGTGCTAGGATTACAGGCGTGAGCCACCGCACCCGGCCTCATCTCACTATTTTTAAATGTTGGCAACCACTTCCATGTTCTTAAAGATACTGCACGGGCCCCAAGATACACCTGCAGCCTGAGTTTGGCCTGAGGCAGAAGAGTCCTAACGTGGGATGCCTGAGGTTTAGCACTTCACCCTACAGGTGATCGTGTCCCAGCCCCACTTCCCAGGGCTGTCATGAAGACCAAAGACGTTAAGGTAGGTTAGAGAGCATGCTATACTGTAAAGTGCAGTGCACACAGAAAGGGCTGCCACCTCTCTTGGCAGTCCTTCCTGGACCATTAAAAAGTTCCTCCCATACCGCTGAAATAGCTCTCCCAGGAGCTGCCAGCCACTAGCCTTCACTGTGCTTTTGGGACCCCACAGGGCCAAAAGGCTCCCAATTTTTTCCCCAGAAGCTTTGAACCTTTCCCTATGACTCCATACAGTGTCCCCTCTCCAAAAAGCAGTCCTGCAATATGCCCAGGGCAGGGTGGGCACCCTGAACCATCCCGGCCCACCTCCATCCAGTGGGTGAGCGGGGTGGGTGGGGGGCTGGACCTCCCAGAGATCCAGGTGCGGCTACAGGCGTCTCATGTTGCGTGCTTCTAGGGAAACAGAGGGACTCCAGTGACCAACAGGTGACTTGGTGAGTGACCTCATGCTTCAAAATTGGATTCTCTATGGACTCATTTGCAAGTCTTTCAAGATTTTTCCCTAGAATGCTCCTAAGCTGCAACCCCAAAATGTGGCATGGATTTTTCATCTTTCTTCTTCCGTTAAGGACTCTCAGGATGCTGCTTTGCCGGCTCCCTCATTCTCCTGTGGCAGCCCTGGGGACCAGCTGCTGCTGAATGCTCCTTGTTTCCCAGGGAACAAGTGGGGTTCAGAGAGGTTGAGTGATTCCCCTGAGGCCACGCAGCAAGTGACAAAATCTGGACTTAAACCCAGATGCTGCTCAGAGGCCACTTGTATAACCACAATATTAGGCCATCATTTCTGGTGTCTTTACTGGAAATTACACTGATGAGCAAAATCAGCATTTATCCTAAAAATAACATGAACAGTAATGAGCGTGGGAGTCCAGTCCAGAACCCAATCCTCAAGGTCGGGTCTGCGGGCTTGGAAAAGCAAGGGCTCCCCTCCTCGGAGAACAGCGCCACCTGGTGGGTGGCCGCAGGGCAGGCGGCATGAGCACAGGTGAGGAAGGACGCAGAGCAGGTGCGGGCAGGCAGGTGGGAGGCCCTGAACTCACCTTGTTGAGGCTGCTCCGGTCACTGACACTCTTGGTCAGCTGCTGGATCTCGGCCACCTGGTCGGCCAGCCGCTTCTGCTCGTTCAGCTTCTCGGCCAGCGTCTCCAGCTCCGTGAGGGCCAGCTGCAGCGACAGCCTGTCGGGGTGGCCCCGGGGGGTGTTCTTCAGCATGTCCTGTGGGCCAGAGAGCAGAGGCTGAGAAGCCCGCCCCACGGTGGACCCTCCCGGGCCCGGGGCAAAGCCTCAGCCTGCAAGTCTCCTCCACACTGCAGGTCTGGGAAGGGCCCGGCTTGCAGCCAGGACAGACGGTACCAGACACAGAACGAGACCTCAAGAAACAGCTGATGACTGGGGGAAAAAATAACGCATGTGTGGATCTTTCTGGAAATATCCCCAAAAGAACTGAAAGCAGGGTCTCAAAGAGATATCTGTCCACCCACGTTCATGGCAGCATTATTCACAACAGCCAAAATGTGGAGGCAATCCGTCCACCGACAGATGGATGGGTAAGCAAAACGCCGTCTGTCCACACGAGTATTAATCAGCCTTAAAAAAGGAAGGAAGTTCTGACACATGTTACAACACGGATGGACCGTGAGTGAGGACATTATGCTAAGTGAGATAAGCCAGTCACAAAAAGACAAATACTGTATGACTCCACTTACATGAGGTCCCGAGAGTGGTCAGATGCATAGAGACAGAAAGCAGAGCGGTGGGAGGGGGAAGGTGAGCCGCTAAATGGGTAGAGCCAGCTTGGGATGATAAAAAGGTTCTAGAATGGATGACGGCGGTGGTCGCACAACAATGTGAATGTACTTAACGCCACTGAACGGCACACTTAAAAATGGTTCAGAAGGTAATAAATAAATGAAAGCACGATCGATCACTGGTGAATTGGTAAGCGGTGTGCTTACGTCAGAGCCCACTCCCACAGCCTGGCAGCTCTGAGGACAGACGGAAAATGCCGCCGGACCCCTCAGCCTGGCAGCCTCCCTCTCAGCTCCCTGGGGGGAGACACCCCTCAGGACCCCTGGCAATCGGGGCAATGTCCTGAGCTCTCAGGTCCCTGGGTGGGACTAGCGTGCCCTCGGAGCCCATCCTCAACCCGAAGCCTGAGCCGTCCAAAGCATGTCGGTTCACTGACCATCTCCTCCACGCCGGGAGCCCTGTGGGTCTTGGGATTCCACGTGCCTTCAAGCCCTCCCCACATCCCGGGCTCATGCCTCACCAGCCACTCGGCATTTCTCAAGGCAGTGGGGTGCAAAACAAGCTGCTGATTGTGATCAGTCCCACTCTGAGAGTGGAGGAAAGATGAGGCCAGAGCCCCAGGCAGGTGGGGTGGTTGCAGGTCCTGGACAAGACCCCGGGCCTCCTTCTTCCCACGCCAGGAGCCCCCACCAGCCCAGACCGCACCCTGTGAGGGGCAGTTGCAGGAATCCCGAGTGGTACCTGAAGCAGGAGGATGAACTGTGGGAACCTCTGAATGGGCTTCACCATCAGCCCGTAGAGGGTGACGCGGTCTGGGCTGCACACCTGCCGCCGCTGTTGGAGACAAGGTCCCATCATTCAGCGCCCCAGGGTCCAGACACGGTCCCAATCCTGGGCTCCTCTCTCCGGGCCCCAGGACCCTGCTCAGCCTCAGGGCCTGGAGAGAAGAGCTGAGGGAGGTCCCTGATTTCACAGCCAGGGAGCCCTCCCACCACCGGTGCCCCCTGCACGGCCCCTCACCCTCAGGAGACTAACACAGTCATTTGAAGCTCTCTGACCTAAACGCAGGACTGGAACACCCGGCAACTTATTCAAGAGGTCAGACTTCTAGACGTAGCCAAGGCAACCACTCCCTCCACGTAAACTAAACACAGGCCAGGCCAGGATGAAGCGCGGGGCACAGGGGGACTGTCCTGTCTCCTGCATCTGTTCAGCCTGCCATCCACACACCTGTCTCCTTGGTCCTGGACCTCATCCCCTGCAACCCCACAGCTTCTCCATCAGCCTCCATTTCTGTCTGCCCGAGCTCAAAACTCTTCAATGGCTCCCCGTGGCCTGAAATATTATATCCTAGCCCCCAGCCTAGAGGTCCAGGACCACCCAAACCGCTCAGCTGCCTCTGGGATCTTCCCTCCTGGACTCCCCAACAGGCAGCAGTGCTCCCAGAGTCCAGCCAGACCTGCCCACCCCAACCTCCTGCCTCTGACCTTTGCCCCACTGTCCTTGTACCGGGAACACCCTCTCCTCCGTCTCCAGCTGTCACAATCCCACCACCCCCTGCCGGGGCCATGTCAGATGGCACCCCCTTGAGAAAGCCCCTCCCGACCTAGTGTCCTCTTTGATGGAGACAGTGAGTTCCCCCGCTGAGGCCCCAGCACGTGTTGCCTGTGTGTCCATGCATCCCCTGGCACCTGGCCCACCTGTACCCTCTGCCGGACGGCAGGCCCCCCAGGCTCCCTCCGGGCAGAGGCTCTGTCTGGCCCACCCCACTGTGCCCACCCCAAGGAAATCGGGGGAGCCTGGCCACAGCTACACGAAGTATTTTCCAAGTCCTTTAATCTCTATTCTCTCATGGGATGCCCAAGATACCCCTTTGAGGAATCTTCCTCATCCTTCTCCAAATGAGGAAGAGGAACCAGCTCAGCAACACTCGGAGCCGCCGCCCTCCAGAGGCAGGCCCGAGACCGCCCGGCTCATCCCGCACACCCAGGCCTCGGAGGCCAGGGCTCGAAGATAACACAGGTCTCCCTGCCTCCCTGCCACGGCTCCAGGACCCCAAGCTGCCTGCAGACACTTTGACTCTTTGTGACCCTCCTCCCAGCGGGCAGGAGAGAATGATCTTCTTCCATGGGACGGGGGCCGCCCCAGGGGAAAGAGGGGAGGTGTCCAGGCCAAAGCCGTGAGGTGATACCCAAAGCTGGGGCCAAAGTGCCCCTCCCTCCTGAGTGACCTTCTTACCCCCCACCCCCAGCCAACGCCCTGGTGAAAGGGCCCCGGGCCACCCTTGAGGCCCACCTTGAGGAACTCGAGGAACGCAGGCTTGGTGAGACAGGCCTTCTTGATGATGGACATGGCGCTGGTGAAGTTGTTCACGTAGTCGCTGTACACGTCTAGCACCATGGACTTGGAGAACTGAAACGAGGTGCAGCCATGAGCCGGGGAGGGCCACCTCGACGCAGGGGAGTGGCAGGCGGCCAGCACCCTACACTTGTTGGGACCACAAGCTGAGCCGGCGGCGCAGCCTGGACGACCTCCGCAAGCCCTCGAGGTGAGCACACCCATCACCCCACGTAGGCGAGGAAACCAGGCTCAGAGAGGTGGAGAGGCTGGCCCACAGGCACAGGTAGGACCAGCAGTGCCACGGAGAGCCCGGGGCCTCTGCCTCCCAGGTCTCCTTCCCCAGCGCAGCAGCCCGAGCCCATGGGTGCGGGGAGGAGAGGGGCCAGTGCTCCTGGCCTCTTGCTGGGCTGTGTGCCCAGAGTTGAGTTGCCAAGGGGCATGGTGTGCCTCGAGTCAACCAACCCTCTCACCTGAGCCCCTTGACACAGGGACCCAGGATGTCAGATCTATTTAGTGAATCTACCGAGTGCTGTGGTTTTCAAGAAATAATTTTTTTCTTTTAGCAGACCCCCAACTACCTAAAACAGATCGGAAGTGGAGTTCCACCAAATGGACCCTCCCTTGCCCCATGAATCTCTGGGGCCCACAGACTTCAGTTTGAAAATCCAAGAATTCAGTGCACCCCCTCATTCCACAGATGGAGAACCCTGGCCCAGAGAGGAGGCTGGACCTAACCGAGGTTGCAGAACTAAGCAGGGCCCAGAACCAGGATCATGGATCATGGTCCAGTGCTCCTCCCCCAACACCGTGGGGCATCCTCTGAGGGCCAAGGCTGTGGTCTGTGCCAGCATTTCAAAGAGTAAGGGAGCTTGCAACCTGCCAGGTGGCTGGCCACAGTGGCTAGGAGGCCACCCAGTCTCCAGGAGGGGCTGCCGCCTGGGCAGAGACAGAACAGAGACCTGGCTTCCACGGTACCAAAGCCCAGCAGACACTTCTAAGGACACTTCAAGGTGCTACACCCACCCCAGCTTAGGCCCGGAAGACGCACAATCCTGGTCACCCACTGGCCCCACTGGCTTGGACAAGGGGACCCGGCAGAGGCAGGAGGCTGGAATGCATAACCCCTGGGGTCAGGCTGGCTGTGGTTTTACCTTGGTGGGCTGGGGAAAGAGTTCGGGGACACCTACTGAGGCCACGAACAGGTCCCCGATCTTCTCGGTGGAGTCCCACTCGGCCACGCGGGAGGACAGGGCGATCTGGAACATGGAGTGGCAGTGCAGGATCTCCTTCACGCGGAAGAACACCACCTGGCACTTGCGGGCGCTCAGCGCCTTGGGCTCCATCTCCATCAGGGGGTTGCGGTAATCCTGCCGAGGGCGCAGGTGAGGCCGAAGGTCAAGCCGCAGCCCTCCCCCACTGCCCCCGCTCACGCAGCACTCGGCCGACCACGGTGGCCTCCTGTGGGCGGCACTTATCCCTCCCTCTCTCCTCATGCACCCTTCTGGAAGGATCTCCATGATTGCAGTGCTCCTGGCCCCCTTTGGCCACCCACAACCAACTCCCTCCGTGACTTCCGTGTTGAGCTGGTATGAAAGCCTGCAAGGGGCTCCTCGGAGGCTCGCCCTGTGTGGCTCTGCCTGTCACTGAGCCCGTCTGACAGTGGTAAGGTCGCCGTAAGCTCCCTCGCTCCTAGACCTAGCGTCAGCCTCTCCAATCAGCTTTCGCAGAAACAGGTGATGTTTTCATCATCACCTGTCTGACGCCTGGGCTCCCTCTCAATGGATTCAAACTCAGGAAGGGAAGACGTGGGTGTCAGCACCCTGTTGCTCTGACTATTCCCTCTCCTGACGGCCTCACTCCCATAGCCCACGCCATCCCACGAGAGTCACCGTCCCGTCTCAGGGATTCAGACTACAGCCCAGGTCGGCACACCTGGTCACGGCACACGAGCATCTGCTCGGCAATCCTGGGGCATCCTGATGGGAGAAAGAGGGGCGACCCTGCCCCTCACCCACCTCTAAGAGCCCCAGGATGATGGGGGGAAATAGCCCTGGCCCCAGGGGTGCATACAGTGGCAAGGAAGACCCAGTCCCTTCCAGACACAAACGGGGCCATACGCCCTCAACTCTCCAGGAGTCCTTTCAAAGAATCCCAATTGCATTTCAGAAAACAGTTACTCCCGTGAACACTAGGGCCTCAGGAGTTCTTGGTGCCCCATCTGGAGGTCCCACTGTCCCCACGAAACAGTGGTAGCTTTGGCCCCTTCCCCTTAAAACGGCCCACAGTCCCCAAACACTCCTTGTAAAATGTCCCTCTGGGGTCCTCCCTGCCCTCTCCCCAGAGGCCCCTGAGGACCCCCTGAAGTCACACCTGGAGTATCCGCTTCAGAGACTCCACGTAGCTGCCTTCGCTCTGTACGATGGAGCCCAGGATGTGCCTCCGGACCACCTGCGCAGGCCAAAAAGCACCGTCAGGGCCTGGCGGGGGCTGCCCTCCCTGCCAGAGCCCCGCCCACCGGGGAGGAGTGCCCGTGCTCCCCAGGCCGTGGGACGGGAAAGGAGGGCACACCCCAGGCAGGCCCCTCGGCACATGCACATCCGGGGATGGGGGACCACTGCCTCTCCTACGCGGTGATGAGGGACGGCCTCCCTCTTTGGACAACTCTAATAGAAATTCTTTCTGAGACTGAACAGAAATCTCAGCGTCCACCACTTGTCGTGCACAGAATCCTCGAGCAATCCTCCTTCCACGGACAGTCCCTAGGGCGCCCTCCCACCCCACCGGCGGTCCCTGCTTCTGGCTAAACAGCCCCAGTCCCTTCCCCTTTCCCTCTCACCATCCTGACCTCTCCCCGGCCTGAATCAGCACCCCTCCACACAGCGGGGTCCGTCGCCCCCAGCTGCGGCCTGACCAGCACCCAGTCAAGCGCGGTGTGACTCAAGCCTCCCTCACCCGGGTACAGCAGAGCGGTGGCCCCAAACTCTGCTGCACGCTGGCATCACGTGGGGACCCTACAGCTCCCTCCCCAGACACTCTGAGTTGGCATGGGGTGCCACCCGAACATCAGGGAGTTTTAAATCTTCCCCGGTGACTCTATTATGCAGCAAAGTTGGGATGTCACTCACAAAAGGAGTCACATGTGGGTGTCCGAGGGGGCAGCCTGTCCGCCTTGATCCAGGGTTGGGAGGGTGACTGACCCTTACTCTACCCCCACGGGTGTTCTGAGAGTCAATCACACACCCCTAGGGCCCCTCCCCTGCCCTGCTGGTCCGGCACCTCCTCCCCGCCTCTGGCACACCCTTCTCATCTCTGGCTGCCGCCCTGCCCATGGCCCACACAGCCCTGGCAGATGGGCAAGGCCACCGTCCTGCAAGCTGTCCCACAGCTGGATGCACCGTCGACAACCCCCAGGCGTCCAGGCGGCACCCGGAGCAGAGTTCTAAGCCTCGGCACTTGGACGTTTGGGCCTGAGTAACTCCTCGTGGTGGGGGCTGTCCTGCGCCTCCTGGGATCTTTAGCAGCTTCCTTAGCCCCTACCCACCAGATGCCAGCAGCGACAACCAAAAACGTCTCCAGACTTTGCCAAATGTCTCTTGGGGAGCAAAAATCAGTCTGAGTTGAGAACCGACTGCTGGCCCAGAGAAACTGACGTTGCCTGATCCAGGAAACGTGCAGGGCGGCGGCAGGGGCGAGAGCGCCAGGCAGCTCCAGGAGGGGAAGCCTAGACTGTGAGCTGGAGGCAGGGGTCTCCCCAGGCTCCCGGGCAGAGCCCCGCCACGCTGGGGCAGAGCAGGGCGTCACCACCTCACATGCCGTTCTAGGAGGGCAGGTGGTGCGTCGGAGGGAAGCAGGCGGAAGCAGTGCCGCGAACGGAACCGGAGAGCAAGTGCCCAGAGGGAGCTGCTCCTCCTGGGCTCCAGCCCGCTGCTGCCGCAAGGACCTGGGCCAGTGTGGCTCTATCCTGACTTCCAAAAGAGGCCAAACATCAGGATTTTCTGCCAACCAAACAACGGGCAAATCCTGCTGCCCCGACACAACCTTACAGCCAGAGGAACCAGGGATCTCACGCCCTATTCGTGGTGGGCAAAATGCAGGCGAGGAGGGAGGGAAACAGGTCTGGGCCACCCCGACCTCAGCGCGATGCTCTGGGAGGAGGAAGACATCGCTGAGAGCCCCGGCTCTGGCAGAAGCCGGTGGCAACTCTGAGGCCGAGGGTGAGGACAGGTGGACCGAGGGCGGAGGCTTACTGCGATCCCCTCCTTCACGCAGCGCCTTAGTTGGAAACAGTGAACAGCACCTGCTCTGGTTGCCATGGGGAGAGGCAGGCGCTCCAGACGCCGGGATCCCACTGCCCCCCAAACCACAGTGTGGAGCCCTGTCCAGTCTGGAACACCCTTGCAGCCAGCTGCAAAGAGAGCCCAGGAGGCCCCACCCAGATGCTCACTTCCCCTTCAAGACCCAGACCAGCGTGGCCCCAGGGAGTAGGCTGGGACCCCCCCGCCCGCCTCATCCCCCCACAGACCTGCTGAGGGCTCAGGCCATCTGGCATGGGGCCCAGCTCCGGGGCTGGGGGCTTGATGTCCGAGACACTGACCTCCAGGAGCCCCATGTCCTCCTCCTCAGAGTCACCTGGAAAGTCAGACAGGCTGATGACATGGGGACAGCACAGCTTGCTCAGGCCCCAGGAGCTGACAGACCCTCAGACCAGCCCTGGACCTGAGTCCAAGGGCACAAGCAGCTCCTGGGGCCACGTGGGGCCCCCAGCGACTCACTGGTGCATTCTTGGGCGTCCCCTGCCACACCCCAGGGCCTGGCACAGCCCACCCGTAACGCACACGAGCGAGTGGGAGCAGGTGAGCGAGCCAGGGAGCGAGCGCAGGGGCACAAAGCAGCATCCTACGGGGCCTGGACTCTGAGAATCAGCTGCCAGAAGCCTCCGTCCCTGCTCAGGCCACCCGCTCAGCCTGGCGGAGGCCAGCCACTGTGTCCCCATTGCTGGGCACTAAAAATAGTTTGCTTCTGGACGCCTGAAAGAGGGAAGAAAATAAGCCCCTAGAAGAATGGGACGGCTTGGCTTTACACGTTCTTATTTTAAAAAATAACGCAAAGACTTAAAAGGGAAAAAGTTCAGCTGGAGTCTGACAGGGAATCCCGGGCACAGGTCAGGTGGGTCTCGGATGGAGGATGGGGACAGAGGAGCCCCAGGCCTCCACGGCAAGGGGGGAGGGCAGGCACGAGGGTCCTGGGAGGGGTCTGGCCTCTACACGGGGAGGCACAGGCGCAGCGACCTGTGAACCCAGCGGCTCAGTGCCTCTGACAGCCGGTGGCAGCTGTGGGCAGCAGGAAGTGGACGCAGGGGGAGGCTGGGGAAGAAGGAGAAGTGGCAGCAACCCCGGGGGCAGAGGGAGCAGGGACACCCAGGCAGGCCCTTACCTGAGCAGGAGACAGAGGAGGAGGAGGAGGAGGGACAGCGGACGACAGCATGGGGGTGGCCCTCCTGCCTGGCCCACATGACGCCCCGGGCATCGCTGCACACCCAGCCCAGCCGCCGGCCCCGCGGCTTCCTCTTCCCCCACGCGCCGCTGGGTAACATTCTTGGCCTGTGACTCGAGCCCTGCCTGGCTATTAATAACACCCCTGGGGGAGGGTCACTTTAGGAGGGAGCTGGCTAATGGGCGGGGTGGGGACAGTCCAGGCCAGCCTAGGGCTGGGGAGGGTGACCCAGGGAGGGCTTCCAGGCAGCCAGCCTGGCCACCCTGTCCTTTCTTAGAGCCATCCCAATAAGTTTAGAACAGCCACCCGGCCTATCCCCACCTCATCAGGGGCCAGTGGTCCCCCGGAAGTGGGAGGAACACGGACATTTACTGAGTACCCAGCCTGTGCCAGGCACATACACGCCACACCAAACGCACAGAGTGGTGGGATTCAACCCATTTTACAGATGAGGAACCTGCCACTCGGGAGGGGAAGAAGTGCAAGGTGACAGCCAGGAGGCATAGAGCCGGGATGTGACCAGGTCAGGGTGAGGCCGTCATGGCACTGAGGCCTCCACTGAGTGACTGACCACCCACCAAGAATAACGCCTGCCACACAGGGCTCTCTGCACACACTACCTCAGTCATCCTCACCACGGCCCCAGAGACAGATGCCATTATTAGCCCCACTGTACAGATGAGGAAACTGAGGCACAGAGGTTAAACTACAGAACTTTCCAAGAGGGTGCAGGCTCTCACAGTTCTCCCTGGCTTGAAGCCCACGTTCCTTCCGCTGCACCAGGCTGTGTGCTGAGGGTGGGCAGCAGGCTTCCCCCAAACAAGGCCTCCAAGGAGAACTGGCACCCCCAGAATTCCGCCCACGGGCCGTTAGCCCACTGTACTGGCATTTCTCATCTCCTTGTCTATCTCCCCGAAAGACGTGAGCTGCATGAGGCAGAGGCTGGGTCTCCTTGACCTTGTGCCCCCGAGCCTGGGAACACACCATGGGCCCTGCCTGGGCATTCTCTGGGGGAGGAGACCAGAGCCCTGGTGGGGACCAGGAATAGGGGATGGGCACCTGAGGGGAGCTTCAGGGGAACGAGGGGGCAGGACATGTGTTCACAGCTGTCCCAAGGCCTTAGGACAGTTCCTAGCATATAGTAGATGCTTAATAAAACTTGTTACATCAATGATCAATCAATTGATCAAATCTGACCATGGGACGCTTCTGTCTAACACCCTCTAATGACCCTCCAGTGTCCTTAAGATCAAGGGCAAATGCCCAACAAGGCCCACAGAGTCCGTGCTGACCGGGCCCTGTTCTCTCATCCTGCCCTCACTGCGGCCAGATGAGGCCTCCTCCATCCCTTCCCTGTGTGTCCTCAGGCAAGTGACGGAAGCCCTCTGTGCCTGTTCCCTCTCCTGCAGGATGGAACATGAGAGTCCTCTGTACCTCGTTTGGTGCCGACAAGGATTAAGTGAGGAACTGCAGGCTGTTAGGAGAGCACCCAGCACATGATAAATGTGCCATCAATGCTAACCGGCATGAACGCCATTTCCAGAACGTCTCATACTTTCCCACCTCTGGGCCTTTGCACATGCTGGCTCCCTCTGCCTGGTGACCTGGGCTTCCTCCTCCTTCCCTGACCCGAGTCCACCCCACTTCCTAGATGCTCCCCCAGGGTCCCCGTCATGCCACCTGTCAATCTGTCCTGTGATTTCCCATTTATGTGCCGTGTCCCCCACTGTGCCAGGAGCCAGCCCCTGGAGAAAAGGCTGATAAATTCGTCTTGGCGTTCCCACATGTGCGCAAGGTGTGGCACTTAGTAGGTGTTCAATAAATACTGGCTGGTTGGAGAGACGGGTGGATGCATATGGGAGGGAGTGAACAGGGACGTACAAGGATGAGGCCCAGTGAGCCAGACCTCAGGGGGCAGGAGGCCCAGATAGCCACGACAAAGGCAGGGCACGGAGGGTGCGGGAGAGGCCCACCTCTTCCAGAAGAGGCAGGACACGCCTCCAGGGAGCGGGAAGCAAGCTGGGACAAGGACATTTGGGACTCTGCCCCCAACCCTTACTGCCAGAGGAGGCCAGACACCCACATGGTACCCCCACCCAGCATGACCTCCGGGGGACGGAGCAAAAACTCACCCTCTCCCACCCCCCAGCCTAGAGCTGGGCACCAGACCTTACTGGCCCAAGCAGTGCCTCACCGAGGACGTCCTTCCTGTGCAGAAAGGAGACCTTGCGCATGACGGCCATCCTCGTCTTCTCCAGCCCATCCTTGGTCCCGCTCTTGGCGGCCTTCATGAGCTGGGTCATCTGAGCAAAGGCAGAGAGGTACATCAGGGAAGTCAAGGGAGGGCCTGGGACACCTGCCACCAAGGGCCACCCACCTCCCCGGCCTCGGCCTTGACTACAGAGGACAAAACCACCCAGCCCCTTCCCTCCGAGGACAACAGTGGGGGTGAGATGGTACACTCATGCCCTGGGGGTCTTCCCGCAGGAACCCTCTTTATGGGCAAGGGAAGGCCCTGGCCAATTTTAGGGGGAGGCTGGAGGCCTGGAGTCCCGGGCCCCAGTTGAAGTTCCAGCTCTGCCACTCCCCGGTGGCACGATGCTGGAAAAGTCACTCAACCTCACTGAGACTCAGTTTCCTCAGGCAAAACCAAGGTAATAGCAATACCCGCCCACACCCGGGGCCGTGAGCACTAAACAGCCCAGGTCTGGGAAAGCACTCTGAACAGCAAAACGTGCCGTACAAATGCTGGACATGATTATTTTAGGAGCGACTAAGGAGAGGTGTGAACACACACTCATCCCATCTGCCGAACCCAAGTGAGGAACCCCATCCCTTGCGCCGCCCGCAAAACAGCCAGCTTTCTTACTGAGCCACTGCCCGGGAAAAGGGGGAAAGGCTGAAGTTGCCAGAAAGCAAGATGCAGCTTCCCGTGGCGTGGCGGGGCGGGGACCCGTGCACACTGGTGCAGCAAGCTAAGCGGTACGTAGAGCTCGAGGAGGACACGTGCCCAAGAGGGGGAGGCAGACACCCTGGGTGCTGGGGGAGCCCAGGCCTGAGAAGAGAGCTGCTGGCCCCCCAGCCCCAGCCCCAGCCCTGGTGTCTTTTCCAACACATGGCTGCAGCGGCACCAGCCAACAGAAGGTTCTGCAATGATGGACACGCTCTCTACCTGCACTGTCCAACATGGAGCCACTGGCCACATGTGACGACTGAGCACCTGAAATGTGCCGGTACGACTTAGGACTCTAATTCCTAATTATATTTAATTGTAAATTAATTTCAATTTAATAGCCACGTGACTATCATAATGGACAGCATAGTTCTAGAAAACCTCCTTCCAAAAACTCCCTGCGGAAGGTGGGAAGCACTAATCTGGGGGGGCCTGGTCCCCCCATTCTGTCACCTCTGACAACCCCGTGGTACCCCACTTAAGGGCCCAAGCGCTTCTGGAGGTCTGGGTAAGGGAGGCAGGTGGGGCACTGTGCACGGAGAGGCGGGGTGGTGGCTTTTCAGGAACAAGGCCTACTTTCTGGAAGCCACCAACAGCAGGAAAAGGGAAGGAAGTCCCCAGCCCCTCCCTGCATCTACAGGGTACAATTCTAGAGCCGCGATACTTGGCCTTCCTGGGGGAGTGATCGTGGATGCCTTTGGGAGTCTAGTGGGAAGGACAGATGCTGACCCCGGAAACCACCCATGGACGCACGTCCTCCCCTGGGGGTCACTCCCCCAGAGACTGGAAGCCTCTGATCCAGAGCCCAGCTCCTGTCCTGGCATAAAGTATCAACGGGCTGTCCTGTGAACCCCCCAAAGTGGTGTTTGGGGGAATCATCTGAGGCCCTTCTCTTGGCATCTTCCTGGGCAAAAGGCAAAGACCCCTGAAGGGTCCCTGAGTCAACCTGCTGCATCCACCCATCCACGCGGCGTGGGGCTGGGGCCGTGCTCGGGGGAGGCCCCTGGTCTTAGACTCTGCCCCTCGCTTGTTCCCTGCTCCCCTCAGAGCCTCGGCTTCCTCAGAGGTTAACCCTGCTCCACCCTGGGTCACAGGCCTGGCGGGAGGTGTCTGTGAAAGGGCCTTACAGGCTCTAGTGTCTCTCTTCCTCCTCCTCCTCCTCCTCCTCCTCCTGAGAGGCCCCAGGTTCTGATAAGCTGCAGGATGGAGAATGCCCAGGCTCTGGCATGTGGCAGATCCGAATTGGAGCCCCAGTGTGACCGCCGGCCAAGTACTTGACTCGTCTCAAGCTAAATGATGGTAGAGAGACAGCTGCCCCAGAGCGCCACGGGGACAAGACGGTCAGGCACAAAGGTAACAAAGGCCACCATCCACAGAGCCCCAGGCCAAGCACAGCACCGAGCACGTGACAGACCTGACCATCAGAGCCCCACACCCACTCCGGGGGCTGGTGCTATTAATGCCCATTCCACCAGCAAGGAAACCGAGGCTCAGAGAGGCCAAGGGGCCTGCCCAGGATCACACAGTGAGGACATGGTAAGACTGGGGTTCAAACCCAGGCCCACAGGCCTCCAAAGCCCAGGCTTTTGGCCAGGACACCCAGGAAGTGCTCAATTAACGGAAGCTACTACTGTCAGTATCATCATTATCCAAAAGTCTGAGTCCGATCTGGGAAGAGGGTGCTGCGCTTTCTCCTACACACTTCCTCATCTCGGATCTCTCAGAATAACTGGGAGGGGTAGGAACGTCCACTGTCACCAACATTCACATTTTTCAAAGTGCGCCCCTAACCCACCCACCACAGTTATTAAATGCACAGATTCCTGGGCCCTGCCCCAGACCTACAGAATCAGCACCCCTGAGGATGGCGCTCAGCAATCTGTGTTTTAATGAAGCACCCAGCGATGCTTAGGGCCCTAGAGTTTGAGAACCCACCTGGGAACTCTTACGGACCACCAGGTGTCTTTCACGTGCAGGTGGAGAGAAAGATACAGGCAAGAACCCGGAAGGGAACACGTGGCTTACGGCCTTGACCAGTTCCAGCACAGATGCAAGTGCCGCCAGGTGCCGGGGGTCAGGGGCAGCCCTGGACTCAGGGGCAGGCACTGGAGGCTCAAGCCCACCCCGAGGCCCCAGGACAGCCAGAAAGTCCCCTGGAGGTGGCTCAGCTGGAAGCGGCCTGTGCAGGACGTGGGAGGGACAGACAATACCTTCCAATCGTACTTGTGCTTCAGCTCCTGCATGTCTCTCCCCCCAACTCTCAAAGCCAAGATGTCTCTCTTAGTCCTGGCGTATCTCTCCTTTAGCCTAGTCAGGTCTGGAGAAAGCTGGAGCCCCAAGCGGCCAGGCAGAGGAGAGCAGGTGAGAGGAGCAGGCGGGACAGGGAGGAGACAAAACACAGACAACAGAGGAGAAAGGAGACTCAGGTGAAGTGGTGGACGGTGACCTGGGGCAGGCGGGATCTGGCAGCCCAGGTCCCCAGCAGCAGTCCGGCCAGGTCCTGCCTGGAATCTGTTCCAACCGTGTCCAACCCCAACACGCCGGGCGGCTGGGGGCTGGGTCTCGCCGGGGAAGGGAGGTGGGAGGGTAACAAGCCCAGGCCCCCCTCTCTCAGGGAAGGGGAAGAATGTTCTGAGGATATGGACTGTGTCTTCTCCTCATCCCTGTAGCCCTGCACAGGGCCTGGAACATGGAGGTTCTCAGTAAGTTTGTGAGACGGATGGATGGATGGCAGGTGGATGGACGGGTGCAGTGGGGGCGGGGGGGACAAGGAAATGAATGGGTGAGTGGACAAATGCATAGAAAGATGGATGAACAGGTAGACGGATGCTTGGGCAGATGGATGGACAACAGATAGATGGATGGGTAGACAGGCTGACGGATGGATGGACAAATAAATGGGTGAACACATGATTACATTTGGTTGGGTGACAGCACAGCTGCGCAAATGAACAGATGGATGGATGAAGAGACAGTCATATGAAGGAATGAAAGGATGATGGGTAGTGAATGGATGAAAGCAGTGCTGTGCTGGTAACTATTTAACAACCAGTTCTCCAGGAAAAAGAGCCCTGCTCCGTAGCATTTCCACGGCACGAATACTCCCGCCATGGCCAATTTCAAGCTACCAAGGTGACATCGTTGAACGTGGATTTGTAAGAGATGCACACAGTTGGTTCTTGAGTTCTTGTGAGCTGGCACAAGCTGAGTCCAGCACACAACTGGAGGAACGGCTGGATGGATGCAGAGAGGGATGAGTCAGGAGAGGAAGGGACGGATGGAAGGATCAATCGATCCAACCATCGATGAGCAACTGGATGGAGGGATACACAGATGACTGGCTTACAGACCATCTTGGAGGATGGATGGATGGATGGATGGATGGACGGAAGAACAGACAGTCAAACGCAAGAACTGTATGAGCAACAGTGATACTTGGCAAAGTACACAGAAGACCAAGGCAGCGGCTACTCCCAGCGAAGTAGACAGGTAGGAGGATTAGGAGTCTGAGCTCTGGAGGCAGGTAGGCCTACATTCCAGTCCTGGCTCCCGCTTCCTAGCTGGAAAGGTCTCCTTACTTCTCTGAATTGCAGCTTCCTCGCTGGTAAAGGAAGTGGCCATTGTAAGAGCTACTTCATAGGGTTGTTAAGAAAATTAAATGGACACTACATGTAAAGCCCAGAGCTTAGCAAGTACTCAAAAGATGGAAGCCATTATTATTTTATCTTTTAGATTGTAAGTACTCCATATCTGTTGAATAGATGGATAGTTGGATGGATGGATGGATGGATGGATGGATGAGTGGGCGAATGGGTGGATGGGTGGGCGAATGGGTGGATGAGCTATTTTCATCCGTGTGTGATGTTGAGTTCTGGCTCTACCAACTAACTTACCGGCTGTGTGACCCTAACCACATCACTTAACCTCTCTGAGCTTTATATAGGTTTTCTGATCAACAAAATGAGAATCTTAATGACAATAATACTGGCCACTCTAGGGTATTAGGAAAATTAAATGACACTGCTTTGTAAACTGTCCCATGCGAGGCAAATGTTCATTATCCTTATGAAGAGAAGTACACAGGACAGGGAACCTTCTGAATGTTACCCAGACTCCCAAAAAACTGGAGTTTGGGGCTTGTACTGAGTCCTAGTCATCTATAAAAAAGCTTGGCACAATGAAACCGTATGTCCCGGGTCTCCTGGCGCCCCTCTCCTCTCTCAGGGCCAGAAGAACTAGAAAATGTTGGGTCCAGAGGTCACTTGCTGAGTTGACAGATTAGAGCAGGGGAGTGGACAGGGCTGAAGCCAGAGCTGGCATTTCTGTAATGAACCCACGAGTTCTGCACAGTTCCCTGCCCAGCTGCATCATAGAGACCTCGATTACAAAGAGGTCACAGTCACAGAGTGAAAGAGTTCAGTGCAGCCCATCCCACAACTGGAAAAAAACCTCCCACTGACCATGGGGAGCAACTGGCAGGATAACTTGTTAACATAACAGGATGGGGTGGCTGCTTACGTTTGGGTCAGGTGCTTCGAAGGAGGTCCCTCTGCGGACCCCTTGGTCACTTCCTTTGGCAAGAGTCCACTTGCCTAGGGCTGGCCTCCCCAGACATCTGGATGAGGGGGCTCCATCAGTTCTCTTGCAGCTGGGCAGGGTGCCAGGCCCACAGTGAGACTCTAAGGGCAGGACAAAACGCTTCCGCAGACCCCTGCGGCCCAGTGCCCCACAGCACACACAACACACAGCCAAGCAGTGGCGGCCCTGAAACATGCAGCTGCTGCGGTGCCAGGCGTGGGAGCAGGTGCACCCCGGGCAGCTAAGGAGGGTGACACACCACGGGCAGGGCTCAGCACGCACCCCTGGGCAGAAGTGGGCACCACAGGACAATCCCCTCCCCAAGCTCCTGTCGCCTGGGAGCCTGTTGGGCAGGGAGCAGGTGGGCCTCGGTCAGGGCCAGAGAAAGAGTCCTCGTGGTTAGGACAATTCCAAGAACTATGCCACATAGTTTGTCTGCTGAGACAGGGTCCAAAGCCCCCAGCCTGAGGGTGTGAGGGACACGAGCTCACAGGCAGTCCCCAGGACCAGGCCATGGTCAGGTGCAGCCCAGCATTTTTGGGGGTGCTCTTTGGGCACCTTGCACTCCCTGGGGCCAGAGAGTTGGTCAAAAGGCCAATTTCCAGGCTCCACCCAAACTCCAAACCGGAGTCCCTGAGAGGGAGGTCCCGACAGCTGCGATTTCGACCAGGTACCCACACGACTCTGACGCCCGCGTGAGTCTGAGAACTGCCACTGGAGAGCCCGAATTCAGCATCTCCATCTCCCCTTCCCTCTGAGAGATGCCTACAGCTCCCCCCAGTCCCCAGCGAGAAGCCAAAGGCCGGGACAGTGACCATGGACATGGGAGAGGAGGAAGGATGCCAGAGGCTGAGACTCAGAGGCTGGACCAGGACTCAAAAGTCCCATCCGGTCACACCGTCCAGAGCAGGACTGAGACGCATGGGTCCTGCCCGTATGGAGAGGGCGCCGAGGGGTCTTGGGGATTCAAACCCAAAAGCGTAACCTCCTCTCCCCTAAAGCGGTGCGCACTGCTGCTTCTGAACTACACGGAGCAGAAGCGGGCCGGTCCTGGGCTTTTGCCTGGGCCGTTCGGCCCACCTGGACCACCTTTCCCATCTCCTCTGGCTCCTGAGCCCAGCTCCTGCTCACCTCTCCGAGGCCTCTTTGGACTGATCTCATCAGCCCCCACCCACATCAGGCATGTGGCCAGGCTGGACACACGCTCGTGTTTACACGGAGGCATTTTTGTCTTCATTTTTGACAAACTGCTTCGCATTCGGCATCTCCTCCGAGACCATGAAGGTTCGCCGAGCCTGGGTCAGGTCTTCCTGTTCCCAAGTATCCCAACCCACAAGCGAACATGTGGATTAGGCACACGGCAGGTGTCGTGAATGCTTCACTTTCAAGCTGGCAAGACATGGAGGCCGGTTTGCACAGCGCAGCCATGGAGGCCCGTCCCTGGGAAGACAGGGGCCCGGCGAGACCTCCTCAGCCCTGGCCTGCTCAGGACTGGCAGAGCCCATCGTGGTCTGAGGAACGGACTCTCAGGTGTGGGTGCTGCTCTGGCCAGTGTGCCTCTCCCAGAGAGGATCCCCCAAACTCAGAAAAGGGCAGGAGGTGTCAGGAGAGTCTTGGAAGCCCGCCAGGTGAGGCATAAACTGGCCCCGTAATCCCAGCCCTACCCTGGGCCCCCACCAGGTGGCAGGACAGGGCACAGGTGGAGCTCTCCTGCCTGTCTGCGTCTTTCTAAAATGAGCCTGAGAGGGACCCCTGGCCCCTCTGCTCAGGCAGGGCCTGTGAGAAGCTGCTCCCATGAAATTGCACATCTTGGCACGGACAGACTGCCTTCCAGTGGCTTCTACAGAACACCGTGGGAGGAGTGAGGACCTCCCAGGAAAGGAGGAACCAGACGGTCTGTCCTCCTCTCAGTCAGGGGCTCCCTCCACGGAACAGGCAGAACGATCCCTGCTCCAGGCAGAAATACCAGAAAAACCGAGTGCGTGGACAGCACACAAGAGGCCGTGGAAAGAAGCTTCCAGGCCGCTCTGGCTCAGCCATAGCAGCTCCCGCTGTTCGCTTGCGCTGGGCAGAGAGGACCGTGTGGGCTGAGGACTGGTCTGAGGACTGTCCAGTAGGGCAGGGGGATCGCGTGATTTGATCCCAGTGCCAGCTCTCCGCGACTGATCAGGCTGCCTGGAGCACTGTGTTGAGAGGGCTCTGAGGCCCGATCTGAGCCCGCAGAGGGTCTGCTGTAGCCATGGGGGGTAGCACCTGAGCCAGGGCTCTGCACAGCCAACAGCAGGGCCCGGGCGTCACCTCCTGCTTCGGGACGACCTGGCTGCTTGCCCCTCTCTCGCCACACGTTCCCGGGAATCCCTGAGACCCAGATGTGAGTCTCAGGCCTGGCCCTCGCCACCCCACTCACCCCCTCCCTGAAGGGGTCTCGGTGCCCTGAGAGGCACCCCCGTCCCCTCACCTTGGGCTGGAAGGACACTCGGTGCTTGGTGGGCTCGACCTCCGGCTTGGTGTCCTCCCCAGAGCCCTCGCTGTAGCTCTCAAACTCGCTGGAGCTCCAGCCTAGGTCCTCCGCCTCCCGCGGCGCCCCGTCCCGGCGCACATCCTCGTACAGCAGGCCCCTCTCCGCCCCTGTGGCCGAGGGACAGCTGGTGAGCCGAGGCCCTGAGACCGAGCCCCCAGACTTCAAGCTCTGTAAGGGGTGGGGAGGACATGGGGCCCTGGAGCTCCAGCTGCGCTTCCTGAACCATGAAATGGAGGTGGTGACTATACACCACCCGCCTCAGAAGCAGCATGAGAAAACGGGCAGAGCACGAGGGTGTCAGACACACACGGGCTCGCTGATTCCTCTTGCTGTCAGCATTGCTTTTCTGTGACCTGAGTGCTCGTCCTGGGCATTTTTTGCTGGAGAAGAGAAGACCCAGGGTCAAGTTCTGGCTCCGGCCCACGGCATCCTCGGAGGTGAAGCAGAGATTGTTGGGACCTTAAAAGTGTCAGCACAGGAAGGGGCTGGCACAGAACCTGGCCCAGGGCAGGCCTTCATAAATGGCAGTCCCTTCCTAGGAACCCCTCGCCCCAGATCTGAGTCCCCGTGTGGTCCAGGACAGTCCGGTAGGGGGCGCACCTGGCCCAGTGTCCAGGAACAGTCTTTCTCCAAACCCCATAGGAAATGCCTTGGACTGAAAATGCAGGGGACAAAGAGCTGAGAGTCTCCTCCTCTACAGAGACAGGTCCCCCAGGGCCAGGGCACTCTTGAGGTCCTTCCTAGTGGGGTGTGAGATGTTGCTTTAAGGCTGAAGCAGGAAAACCTCTGCCCGAGGCTGGAGCACAGGGGTCCCAGCCCCAGCCCCGTCACTGGGAGATCTTGGGCAGGGCCCTTCACCCCTCTGGGTCTCGTTGCTTTGTCTGTCGCCTGGAGAAGAGCCGGAGACCTCACAAAAGTGGGGTCAGATCCCAGAAAGTGCATGAAGATGAAAATACTTTTGTCAACACAGAAGAAATACAGCATTGGGAAGGGTCAAAAAAAGTCTGCTCAGCCAAGTGCGGTGGTTCCCACTTGCAATCCAGGTGCTTGGGAGGCTAAGGCGGGAGGAGGGCTTGAGGCCAGGAGTTCGAGGCTGTGGTAGTGCGCTATGATAGCACCTGTGAATAGCCACTCCAGCCTGGGCAACGTAGCGAGACCCAGTCTCCAAAACAAAAACCATCTGCTCAGAAACAACTGTGCCACAGACCTGGGAGCCTTGGTTGTCAGAGACCTCTCTGCAAAACGTGGATGATGATAAGCTGACAGGGCAAGTAAATAAAACACGGCCAAGATGCTCTTAGGAAAGAGCCCGGCACGTGGCAAGCACTCGACCAAAAGCAGTGAGGCCTCGCTCGTGGTCGCTCTGGGTGGGCACAGGTGTCGCCCCACCGACCCAGAGCCCCCAGCTCCAGCCCAGGAAGGCTAGTGGGGGGCACTGGCGAAAGGCGAGGAGATCGTCAGCCAGAAACAAAACAGATGTGCCAAAGCTTAGCGGGGACATGGGTCCCAGGACCAGGAGAGAACATGGGTTATTTTTAAGCAAAAGACAATAGTGACCAAATGCCTCCAGAGACCGTAGCAGCTGTGACCTTTACTGCTGTCCTCGTACTGCCACGGAGGCCTCAAGCCTAGTGACCAAATAGGCAGAGCTCAGTTTTACAGATGAGTCAACTGAGACGCAGAGAAATTGAGCAGTTCTCTGTGTGACCTTTCCCAAAGGCCTGCGAGTTCGGGATGTTTTTGTCTTATATGAAGAAGCCAAGGCCCAAAGGCACAGAGCCCTGTGCCCAAATCAGAGGCAGAGCTGGGATGTGAACCCAGGGCTGTGTGTCCACTGGCGCATCCAGCCTGCCCCTTGGCTGACGACTTCCTCTCTGAGTTCCCACCGAGCCCACATCAGGTCCGGACAGGCCAGCGCTGGGACGCTTGGCAGGTGAACACTAACAGCGACAGCCAGCAGTGGCCCTGTGTGCAGAGCGCCCACCCAGAGCCAGGCCCTGCACTGAGCTCCTTACGACTGTGTCTCACTGGACCCTTTACAGCCCTGTGGGTGGGGGTCCCAGGGGTGGGGATGGTGGTCCTCAATTTGCAGGCTCAGAGCTGGAACTCCCAGGCCACCTGCTCTTAACCACCTCAAGGTAGGTTGGCAAGGACGTGCCATATCCTCCCAGACCCTGCGGTGAGGGGGGTGGGAGGGGCTGTTGCTTGATTTAATTCAGGTGGCAAAACAGTCGGAAGGGGTTAAACAACACTGAGGCCCCTCAGCCACTCAGACCTCCTGCCAGCTCCGGGACATTACCATAAAACCCTACTGCCTCCTGACATAGTGTTCCGTTTCCCCACCTCCCTGGATTCAAATGAGCTACAAGCAGGAAAATGCGCTCCGAGCACATCCCAGGCATGCTAAAGGGACGAGCATATCATTGGCCCATCTGTCCCTGTTCCTGGGACAGCAGTCAGGAGTGTGGCTCTGGGGCCCTCGGGCCTCATCATGTCTGTGTGACTCTCCCATCAAACTGCATGCTGCCCAAGGGTGGTTATAGCTGCCCCATCAGACTCGGAACTCCTCAAAAGCAAGGGCTGTGTCTCCCCCATTAGATGGAGAGCCCCTGAAAACAGGCAGAATAGTGGAGTAGAAAAAACAGGCGCGGTGGCTCATGCCTGTAATCCCAGCTGCTTGAGAGGCCAAGGCAGGAGGACTGCTTGAGGCCAGGAGTTTGAGGCCAGCCTGGGCAACGTAGTAAGATGCCGTCTCTACAAAAAAATTTTTTTAATTAGCTGGGCATGGTGACGGGCACCTGTAGTCCCAGCTACTTGGGCGGCTGAGGCAGGAGGATCACTTGAGCCCAGGAGTTTGAGGTGCAGTGAGCTAAGATGACACCACTGTACTGCAGCCTGGGCAACAGAGCAAGACCCTGTCTCCAAAAAAAAAAAAAAAAGACAAGACAAGAAAAAGCAGTCATCCATTCAAATCCTGGCTATGTGATCTGGGCTGGTGGTTTAACCTCTCTGAGCGACTGAGTTTAACCTCCCTGCCCCGCCGACCTCACAGGGTGACTGGACAGTGGAATCCAATGTGCTTTATGTGTCATAAAATGCCACCCAAATCCTCCTGGGACAGGGGACAGAGCACTGGACTTGGGAGTCGGAATGACTCACATTCAAATCCCAGCCCTGCCTCTACAGTTTCCCTGTCTGTGCAGTGAGGACATAATCCCCCAAATCAAAGTTTTGAAGCAGCTCACATGATGCAAAGTATGAAGAGCAGGTTGCCCTAATGTGTCCAAGCAAGATGGCTCTTCCGGTTAATTGTCAGTCGGTATTCCTCCTCTTGCCCATCAGGTGCGCTCCGGCAGGACCTACCCCATCCCCTCTCATTTCCCCGCTGCCACAATCTCCCGACTGCCTGTCCCACCTCGGCCCCCGACCCATGGCAGGTGTAGGGCTTTCTGCAGCATTATCTAATTTACCCTTTGGGTTTAACAATCCGTCATCTTCCCCAATAGCCCTGGGAAGCCTGGACTATGGCCCCATTTCCCGAGGGAGGAATCAAGGCTCAGAGAGGGGAAATGACCTGCCCAGGACCCACAGCCAGAGCGTGGCCCTGCCCACGATGCCAGGCCCTGCCCAGCCTGGCCTGGCCCCGCCCCTGGCCAGCTCCGGCCGCTCCCAGAAGACTGCAGTGGTTTTTACAGGCAAGAAGGAGGGGCACTGCACTGGGTGGGGACAGAAAGAAAGGGAAGGAGAAGACCCCCCCCCAGGCCCCGCCCGTCCTCCCCTGTCCCCAAGAGCAGCAAGGAGCAAGGCAGAGACTGTACCGGGCTGATGGGCATCCGGGCTCTCGCAGGGGACGTCGTCATAAATCACATCTTCTTCCAGGGCGGGGAAAGTGAACCGGTCGACTGGGAGGGAAGGGGAAGAGAGAGGACACCAACGCAGGCTGTGGCGCCAGCTAAGCGCTGCAGACTGACACCAGGACTGCACCAGCGGGCGGCACACGGTACCCTGACCTCTCTGCCAGCCCGGCCCAGCCGGAGCCCTGCCAGCTGCTCTCAGGGGATGCCGGCTTCCCTGCTCCTTCCCGCCCCCCAGACGCTCCAAGGCGCCTTCCGTTGACCACACAGACCCCCACCTGCCTCCCCCACTCACAGGCAAGGCCTGCCCATCTGGCTGATGGGGCGGTTGCTCACGGCCCGCAGGCGGCATGATGCAGCCCAGCACCTGTGCCCTGGCCCCCAAGCATCCTCAGTCACCCAGGCCCCCGGGACAAGCCCCTCCCCTGCTGAGCTGAGTCAGGATTCAGAAACCAGCCCCTGTCCCAGATGGGAGCCTGTCCTTATCCCACGGGCCTTCTGGGAAGAAGTCATGGGACCCACTGTCCTAACTGTGATGTTCCCTGAGTCCTGGGGCCTAGAGCCCAGCCAGAGCCCAGCCAGAGCCTCACAGGGACCCTTCTTCCTCCTTCTACACTGACTCTGCCTCCAAAAGGGCCCACAGGCCTGCCCACCTCTCGCCAGTTCCCTAGTTCAGGCCCTCGGCTTCCCACTCCTGGAAGACCCCACAGCCTCCCCACTGCTGCACCCGCCCCAGAGCAAAGGGACTGAAAGGCAAATGTGGCCACATCCCTCACCTTCTGTGGCTCCCTATTGCCTTCAGAAACCTAAGCGTGGCCTCCGACGCCTCAGGAGCTGGGGTGATGGCAGCCTCACCTCACCCTGCTCGCCCCATAATGCTACCCCCACCAGACGGAGCCCCTGCTGCTTCCCGAGGTGCCAGGCATCCCCTCACCCTCGGGCCTGTGCACAAGCTGGTCCCCTGCCTGGGACCCCTGCTCCCTCCCTCTCTGCCCGCAGGACTCAGCAAGGCACCTGCCCACTGCGTGGCAACTGCCTGCCTACCTGTCTGGCTCTGCTCACACAGAGGGACCTCTCCCGGGTCACCAGGGCACTCCCACCACCTGCCACCCTGGCCTGTCGTTGGGGCTTTGTAAGTATTTGAAAAGCAGATGAAAGGCAGAACGTGTCATCTACTCCTGGACCTCGGCTCTGGGGGGCAGTGGTCGGTCAAGGGGAGACTACATCCTGGCACTATTCTGGTGCTACCTGGGGTGGGCGGTCGGTGGGGACAGGGGAGACTTACTGCGACGGGAGCTCTTCCGCTTCCAGCTGGAGCGCCGCACCCCAGAGCAGGCTGCGTCCACCGCGTCCCCATTGCTCACCACGGCCGGCACCCTGCAGGCCGAGACGCACTGGTGAACTGCAGGGAAGGGGACGGCAGCCCCTCGAAGCCTCCGGCAGCCCCTGACCAGGTGATCAGGGCCCACGACGGGGAGGAGGCCGGTGGGGGGTTGGCCTTGGACGAGGACTTCTCTCTCAGTGTCCTCATCTTCAGAAGGCACTGCGAGACCCAGCCAGCTTCTTTACGAGAGCGTAAAGATCAAACGCGTTCATAGTGGTGAGTACCAAGCACTCCGCGAGAGGGGCCTGTCTGTCCTGCAGGGCAGACTCCACAGATCTCCATCTCGCCATCGTCCCCTGTGCCCATGAAGGTCAGGGATCCCTGCTTCTTGCAAAAAACAAGGACCTGCAATGCTTCAAAAGATTACCATGGGAGGTAGAGCTTAGTCCCCATACCCTTGAAGACGGGCTGGACCCAGTGACTCCCTTCCAAAGGACAGACATGCAAACCACAGAGCAGAGAAACCCACGAACCCACCTTAACCAAGAGATCAAGGCGAGGATCTCCAGAGATGATACACAGATGTCACATGCCCCCAAATGATGTCATGAGACGGGCACCTCCCCTCCATGGTATGTTTACCCCAAACCCATAACCCCAGTCTAACCATGGGGAAAACATCAAACAAACCCAGACTGGGGACAGTCTACGAAATGCCTGGCCCTTGCCCCTCAACACTCTCAAGGCCGCGGAAACCGAGGAAAGACCGAGAAACTGCCACAGGCCGGAGGGCTGCGGAGACGTGACAACTAAGTGCAGTGTGGGACCCTGCATTGGATCCCGGAACAGGAAATGAACCTAAGTGGGAAAACCGGTGGAATCCACATAAAGTCTGGAGGTTAGTAAGTGGTGACGTGCCAACGCAGGTCCCTCAGCTTTGACCACTGCACCAAGGGTCACGTAAGCCGTCAACAGCGGGAAAACTGGGTGAGGGGGTATGTGAAACCCGTGTACCTCGTCACTTCTCTGTACATCCAAAATTATTCCAACATGAACTTTTTTTAAAAAGTTGACATTCAAAAAAAATAAAATAAAACAAAGACCACTTATGCCAACCTAGAGGGCAGAGGCCTTAGACTGCCCGAGACAGCAGCCACTGTTGCCAAGGAATTGCCTTTAACTTCCTGGCACCTGAGCCCTTAGCGGGGACGAGGAGAGGGACATGAAGACCAGGACAGTGCAGGGGAGAAGGGAGGGGAGGGGGATGAGAGGACGGAATTCTCGCTGTTGAGCACGGCCTGCGCCAGGCCCCTTGCCTCACCTTCCCAACAACGCCGTTTTGCGGGCGCGTAGAGGAACCTGCCCGAGACCACGCTGCCCAGGGAGCGGCAGGGCCAGGCCGTGAAGCCAGCCTGCCTGGTCATAAGGAGAGCAGTGATGGCACAAATGCTCTCTGCCTGTGCTTCCAGCACGCAGCCACCAGCTGCACATGCTACTGAGCACTTGAAACGTGGCTAGTGTGACCATGGAAATTAATTGTATTCTTTTTTATTTTAAGCACTGTAATTTTAAACAGCCCCATGTAGCCAGTGGCCACTGTCCTGGGCAGTGCAGTCTAAGTCACCTGCACTATTGGAGGAGCAAGTCTCGGCTCACATGTTACTGCCAGAAGCCGGCAGTGTCACCCCGGGGTAAGGAAGGCAGCATATTTCAGTCCTGGGGTAGCACTTTCCACGACAGGAGGCACAGGCCAGAGGAGACAGGGCTGTTCTGGACCAGGAAGGAGGCGCTGGGCTGCAAGGAGCTGCCTGAGCCCCATCACTAACAGCTGCTTCCCTGAGCCGCCACCTCCTCAACACAGAAACATCCCGAAAGAGCTGAATCAACTGCTCAGAAATGCTCAGACAGAACCAAACTGTTCCAGCTGGAACCGACCTGAGCTTAAGAGAGGCTGGCTTGACGGTCTGCCAGCCTCTGATACACAACCATGACAATCGGTGACCATTGCAAAGCACCCTGCAGCACCTGCTACGGGCTGCTTGCTTTGCTTTACATATATTTGCACAGGAACACGCAGGAGGTGGGCGTTGTTATCCCCATTCTACAGGCAAGGAAACTGAGGCTCACAAAGACTCAATTACTTAACCAAAGTCACTCGGCTAATTGGTGGGAGCTGGGATCTAAAGCTAAGTCTGTCTGCAGAGTTTGTGTTCTTTCAACCAGACCGCTTGGAAGTATTTGCAATTAAATATTCACCTACGTCACAGACTTGCTGTGCCATAAGGTCTCCTAAACTCGTGCCTGTTTAGCCAACATTTTTTAAAAAGGAAGGAGAGCAGCACCCCTCAGCACACAGTCAGAGGCACAAGTTCAAGTCTCCGCTAGGGTCTGAATGCCTGTGTTCCCCCCAAAGTCCATGTGTTGAAATCCTCACCCCCAAAATGACAGAATTAGGAGGTGGGGCCTCTGGGGAGGTGATTAGGTCACGACAGCAGAGCCTCCATGCAGGGGATTAGTGTCCTTACAAATAAAAGAGGCCCCAGAGAACTCCCTTGCCCCCGTCGCCATGTGAGAACACAGCAAGAAGGTGCCACCTACGAACCAGCACTCGGGCCCTCACCAGACACTGAATCTGCTGGGGCTTTGAACTTGGACTTCCCAGCCTTGAGAACTGTAAGGAATAAGTTTCTACTGTTCATAAGCAACCCAGTCTACGGCCTTTTGCTGTAGTAGCCCAAACAGACTAGGACAACGCCCGGCAGGGGTGGGGAACCTGCGGCCTTCTGATTTCAAGATTCTCCTTTTTTAAGCACCAAAGGAGGCAAGAGAAGCTTCATCTTTCTCTGCTGCACTCCTTTTAATAAGAGGATTCGTTCTGCAAAATTTGGATTCAGTCAAAAGGCTGCACTTAAGGACCCAGAAGGCCACATTTCACCTTAAGGCTGCAGGTTCCCCACCCCAACACTGAGAAGGCCCTGTGTAGACTCTCAAGGTGACTTCGGGGTGAGGCTGGGCACCCGGGGCTGGGGTCAGGCACCTTAGAGAGGGTCTGAAATGTGCTGAGAAGACCAATAGCCATGGAGAGGCTGAACCGTGGGCCTCCTCTTGGAGCACATTACCGAAGCCAGCGCAGGTGTGGGTCCTTAGCCTGGCTGGGGGTGGGGGTCCACAGCACAGACCAGTCACCTCCGTGCCACCCCCATTGCCCAAGTCTCCTGGCCAGCAAGCGGCACAATGGCAATTTGAACAGAGTTGATCTGCCTGCAAAGCCTCTCAAGCCAGCTCTGTGGCCCCCCAGACTGGAATAGGGGTTCCCTAGGGAGCTAGGCAGGGGAAGAGGAGTCAAGCGGGTGGGGAGAGCAGAGCACAAGCAAAGGTCCACCTCAAGGCAAGCATGCAAAGAGAGCATGGCAAGAAATGAGGCTGGGGGTGTCTCCTCCCCCCTTGCCTCTTCCTGCTGCCTGCCAAGGCCACCACCCCACCCTGCAACCACCCATAGGCAGCCTCTCCCAGCTGCTGTCTGGAAGTCACACAGGGCCCTGCCTGGCTGGAAGTCTAATGCTTCCTGTGACCAAACACTCCTTCTGGAGCCTCCTCAAAGGCTCCAGATAACAAAAGAGCCATAAAAACCAACAAGAGGCCAATTATCTCACCCTTATCTGAGCTTCCTGCACTCCCAGTGCCTCTCAGGCCAAACTTGAGAGCAAGGCCAGCGACTAGAATTACACCAGGCTGCCAAGGTGAGGCCGAACCCGTGCAGAGAAATAGAAGAGGAAGAGTTGGAATAAGAAGGGGCAGATGCACAACAAAGTTCATTGACCGTGGTCTCTGGTCCACAGAGCTCCAAGCACCTCTGTGCCCCACCTCCTCTCTCCCCAGAGAGCAGCCAGGCGGGAGGGGCCTGGGCCCTGTGACAGCGGGACCCCCACGCCCACACCCGATGATGACCGATGACGACCGAAGCCCACCCACCCCAGAGAATGGCAGCCCCCGCCCTCCGCAGCTGCTGGTACAGGCCCCCGTTCTCAGTGAACCTCCACGGTGAAAGGGTCGGCCTTGCTGAAGCAACAGGAAAATATCTGATCCCGCGATTTCCTAATAACAGCTAAAGATCGCTCATGAGCTCTCTCCCTGCTCTCCGCTCTTTCTCTCCCCACTGACAGGCACCCTGCGGGGACTCTGTTTACACAAACATCTGAAAAGAGCTGGAAAAAGACAAAAAGAAACATAAATCTTTCTCTTTACATTCCCCAACCACTGCCCTTTAGAATCTGTCTCTATAGCCTGAAGGAGTTCCTGAGAAGCTCCCAGACAGACAGCAGGGGACAAACTTCAGGCTTCAGAGCCTGCCCAAAATCCTATGGTAAGGGCTAGATCGCAGACGGGATCTTTGACATGACAGCCACTTTGCTGCTATCTGCCTGCCGAGAAGAAAGAAAGGAGGGATGCAGCCTTCATGGTACCCTGTTATTAATAATTCGGCTATGGCCGGGCGCGGTGGCTCACGCCTGTAATCCTAGCTCTCTGGGAGGCCAAGGCGGGCGGATTGCTTGAGCTCAGGGGTTCGAAACCAGCCTGAGCAAGAGCGAGACCCTGTCTCTACTAAAAATAGAAAGAAATTAATCAGACAACTAAAAACATAGAAAAAATTAGCCGGGCATGGTGGTGCGTGCCTGTAGTCCCAGCTACTCGGGAGGCTGAGGCAGAAGGATCACTTGAACCCAGGAGTTTGAGGTTGCTGTGAGCTAGGCTGACGCCACGGCACTCTAGCCCGGGCAACAGAGTGAGACTCTGTCTCAAAAAAAAAAAAATAATAATTCGGCTACAGCCATAAATCATCTTCACCCCTTTTTACAGTTCGTAAATAAAAAGCCTGAATACCTGATTCCCTCTGCCAACACTTTCCTCTTCCTCCATGTCACCGTGTTGGCCCTTTCCCACTTGGGAAAGCAAAATACATTTCTTCCTTCTATCCTAAACTTTGGAGAAATGTTTCTCAAACCCGCGTGCACCCGCACTCCACCCTAACACACAGGGTCCCTTCCCAGAGGCT